ATAGTGAAAATGATACTAGCGAACAGGTTGAATGTAGTGATTGGCACTAGTTTCTTGGTGCCACTTGTTCCGCTGGTAAAGAGAATTACAGCGAGATCATCTGGACCGTTAGGCTTCGTACAAGCAACGGTTGAAGGGCCAGCATCGTTCCAGCGGGATACTTTGAAGGTCAGGTTATCTTGAGGTTGGACGATGAAGCTAGCAATTTTCGGGTCAAGTTGGAACTTTTGAACATCTGCTTCTAGCATGAGAATCGCGTCGGCCTCTACGGCTTTGATGTCCATTTTCAGCTGTTCGGAAGTCACAGCTCTTGCCATTGGCACTAGCGTATATCGATTCGCTACCGCAAGGACCGCAAGAGCCAACAAAGGACCGTTGGGTAAAACAACCATTACGCGAGGTTTCCTGCTAGTCGAGCCATCAATGCCCAAGTCAAAATTCCTCACGAATTCATGAACCACGCCATGGGATATCTCTTTTTTAGCCTCTGTGTCGATTAGTGCCGGTCTCGAAGAGCCTTGGTGTAAAAGATCTTCCATATGCGGAGCGAAGTGTTTTAATTGGCACTTCAATACGTCTATTGCAGTGTTCCATGTCGAGTCGTTGCCATCCCGAGCAGCTTCAGGCAAATCCTTCCAGGTGCTTTGGTAACAGCGGATGAGGTCTTCAAAAGGCCAAGGGCCATTCTCTTTATTCAAAAGGTTCTGAAGCTCACGGATAGCATTCTCTGGCGTCTGCGTACGAAGTTCTCGTAGCAGTCGTTGCAATCTTAGCCTGTACGGTATGTTAGTTTTACCATTGTGTGAAGGCGTAAGGCAACATACCGGTCATCCATGGTCTCATGGAAGTTGAGAGTATGGGGTACTGATCTGAAGCGCAGAAAAAATCTGGGCCATTGATATGAGGCAGTTGGGGAGAATATATGAGCATTGGATTCTCATGTCTTCGAACCTCTAGCGAGGAGACATATCTCAGGGTCAGCGTACGGTGGCTGAAGTTCGGAATCCATGACGGGGCTCAGCCTGATCGCCCCAATCCCACTTTCAAGGAGGTCCTACTTCCCCGTTTGCACCCAGGATATCATCCTAACAAGGATCTAGCAATAACGTCCCTTGACTAGGGCTCGATAGGGTTTGGTTTAGTTGTACATCCATGGCTCAGAAAAGATGGTATGTCTTTCAATTATGCATGTCGCTAGGTTGAATATGCGGGGTTGTGCGCATAATATCAACGGTCCTTTTAGTAGCCTGTCAGTAGTTTGTTGGCTCCAACCAACTTCCTTCGGGGGTATGTAGGAGTATCTGAGTACTAAAAACGGAGCAATGCCGACACGGGGAACTACAAAACCAAAGTGGCATGCATTTAGGGGGCTCATCCGGCACATAAACGGCTTCAGGATTGTAAGTGACAGGCAGAACGCTGTAATATGCCATACATGACGTGGAAACTTCGATGTCACATAAGCTTCCGCCAACAAGACACTCCGGACATGCTTGGCAAGCGCGCCACCGGTCTCATACGAGAGGTGGGTTATAATAGCGCAGCAATTTTAAGGCTTAATCCATTCTAAACAGCATCTAGATCCATCGTGAGTTACCGGTGCTCGCTTCTCCCGTGGGCTCCAGTCTTGTATTAGCTGGTGAGACTTGTTAGCTGATCTTTGGTGGTATCATAAGTTTATTCCTACTTGACACTTAGCTCAAACACCCAGGGTGTACGAAGTAGTCAAAACTCCAAACTGGCTCCATCATTGTTTATATGCCACGGGTGTGGCGGGTTTTCGCCCCTATCATGTAGGTCGAATACTGTAAGAGCGGAGCGAAGATGATGGGGGTGTTCGTTTCCAGGATGCATGGTCAGCTGTAGTAACGAGGGGAGAGAACCATATACCTGCAAATGGGGGATGTTCGAAGTTATCGAGGCTCGAGAGAATTATCATCAAGATAAAAAGAGCCAAGCCGGAGGTGGTATCAAGCTTCTGCTAAGCTCATGAAGCAAAGCCGATCAAGCATCTGACAGCTAGGGTTTTGACGCATTGAGCATTTTTTCCCCCTGAAACCGATACCTTGATGCTAGGAAAGAGAGCTGCGTGTTCATGTTTTTTTTTTTGTTTTTTGCTATTGAGTGGTTCAGGGGTACTCCGGCTGGCGGCCTCCAGTTAAACACCGAGACAGGGCGTTTGATGATAAGTATGCAGCATCTGATGCCATACAAGCCTTAACGCTAAGTAGTACTTCCCGAGCGATATGAGCTCGCCTCAGTTCCTTGCGCTGTCTCCAGGCTCCGCATTCTGCCATCCGCCGAAGGTCATTCCAGCGGCAATTTGTGTAGACGCATGATTCGTTTCATCCAATGTGACGTTTCTTTTCAAGCCGCCTATGTATTACTTATCCCAAGTTTGGCCACGCGCCGGCTACGGCGCCCGGGGAAGAAAACAGTATGCATCCCGTTGTTTGTGCGGTTTGATGTTGAGTGTGGCCGTTTAGCTCGTTGTTGAAACTGAGTTTGAGAGCCCCTTTTTTTAGCCCGTGAACTTAACTAATTTTATGCAGCGGCTATTAGCTAAGAAAGGCGTAACTTCTTGCCACGGCTGTTCCCGAACATCGAACCAACCGAGACGCCAAAGCAGGCGATATATGGATGAACGGATGAACGACAACAAGAGATGCGTTGAGGTCCCTTAACGAAAGGCCTATTATACCCATGATTATATTTGCAGATTATACTCTATACAACCAGATCAACCAATCATGGAGTCCAGCATGCAACCAGAATCAACCACCGAAGCCATGTTGTTACAGGAGCCGAGGAAGGCCCGTAGTCACCTCAGGCTGACTGCGGTCCTTGCATCCCTTTTCGTAAGCATTTAGCATTTCTTCTCCGAGAATGTTCTCCAACGGTTTTGCCATGAGTCACTTCAGATAAAGAATGTTATCAGCTAACTTAAGAAACATCAAGTCAACACTTTTCATCTCGGCGCTTAACGTCACTATTGTTGCCACCACTATACCAACGATTACTGCTGATCTTCGTTCGGCAGCAGGATATCCTTGGATAGGCGGGGCCTTTACTTTGGGAAATACGGCATTTTTAGCCGTATGGGCCAAATTATCAGATATCTGGGGTCGGAAGCCTATCCTTCTAACTCTTGTAGCTCTCTACTTCTGCAGTTCAATCATTTGTGCAACTTCCAAATCTATAGGTATGCTTATTGCAGGCCGCGCATTACAAGGCATGACTTGTGGCGGCATAACACCTCTTGTTATGATTACGATTTCAGATATATTCAGTATGAGGTACTTTCACTTACGTTCCACATCATCAACTACAAATTGTTAAATTGTCGAGCTAATATCCAATACAGGCAAAGAGCGCTGTATCTTGGATTTCTACAGGCAACATGGGCGGTTGCAGGGGGCGTTGGTCCTGTCCTTGGTGGCGCATTGACGCAGTACGTTTCGTGGAGGTGGATATTTTGGATCAATCTTCCAGTTGCTGGAACATCCTTCATCCTACTGTTGCTATTCCTGGACGTTCATAACCCTCGAACTCCCTTTATGGAAGGTATCAAAGCAGTTGATTGGTTTGGAAGCATTGCTATTATCGGAGCTCTCTCGATGCCATTACTAGGTTTGAATTTTGGGGGAGAGCTATTCCCTTGGAACTCTCCCAGAGTTATCTGTCTAATTGTGTCTGGATGTACAATGCTTGGAATCTTCGTTTTTAGTCAGGCACGGCTATCAAAATATCCGCTGATGCCGCTGAAACTATTTCAACGCAAATCCAATGTTGCTTGTGTGGTTATTGGGTTTACACAGTTATCTGTATGACGAACCCTGGCTACTTATAGTACCCAGAAAGGTGGTGGCTAATATTTTGATCTCACAGGGTGTCCAAGCAGCCGAATTTTACCTCCCTCTTTTTTTCCAGTCTATATGGGAAGCTTCCCCTACTCAATCCGGCGTTTTTATACTTCCTATGACAATTACAGAGAGCATCACAGGAATTATTTGCGGTTTGGTAATTCATCGCACTGGTCGATATATAGAAATTATTCGAGTGGGAACCCTTCTATTTGCACTTGGCATTGGGCTACATATCCACTTTAGCGAAAGATCATTTCTTGCTGAAGTTGCTGGGATAGAAACAATTGCAGGTATTAGTGCAGGGATGCTTTTTGATCCCCCATTACTCGCTTTACAAGCTATGGTATCTCAGGATGATACCGCAACTGCGACTGCAACTTTTAACCTGCATCAGAACATAGGCTCCTTCATGGCTACCGTGCTAGGAGGCGTCATTTTCCAGAATGGTATGAGAATGAGAACCCCAGCATTGAAAGATGCGGGGTTACCAGAGGCGATTATTGAGCGACTCGCTGGTGATGCTGCCGCTGCCAACGTGGATGTTATCAAGGAAATCTCGGACCTTACTCAAAAAATTGTGGTGAAAAGAGCCTTTGCATCTAGCCTTCGGTATATCTGGATACTAGCCTCATGCCTAGCAGCCATCGGTGCGCTTGCAAGCCTCTTGGTATCGAAGCAAGTTCTCAACACAGAACATGTTGAAACAGAAACCGGTATTAAGAAGAAAGAGCCGGTTCGTGCAGAACTAACCACACTCCAAGATACCAGTTGACGTAAGTGGCTATACCCCAGATTATGATGCTCCTCGAAGGAATGTATCAATTCAAGGAGCTGGTTACCCAGCTCTTAAACATACTTAAGGCAATAAATAAATACACGTCCACCACCTGCAAATAGCCTAACAGTACATTGAAAAAATGACCTCCGGCTCATCCGCTATATTGGCCTTTGGACCAACCATGATATGTACGGAGTAAATGGGGGGTGTCACAAAATGTACTGATATAGGTGGTGGCCTTCAGGCGCAACTTATATGACCTTCTCGGGGTTGGTTTTAGCAGATAATAAGATAAGTATTTATTGAAGAACTAGTGCCTTTATACATTTTTCCCTCTCCCTAAGATCAGCTCAATTTAATATTCTATTATTATCTTACTCTTAATATACCAATATTGCACCGTATTATATCAGTTATTAGGTATAAGTAGATAACTAGAAAATATATCTGGATAGTAATAATAATAATAATAACTCCTAACGTCCAATCAAAGCTAATTTTAAGGACTCTGCTTATAAATTTATCGACGTAGTCAAGAAGAATTAGACTAATTTTATATAGGACATTAATATTATTTACTCTATGTATCTCTATAGATTCATATAAAAGCTAGATCTGCCGGACCCCATTTTAATTTAGAGAGCCGACCACGTCCTTAAAGTCTATTTTCCCGCGCGATTTCCTCTGCATTTTATACATCATACAAGTCTTACAAAAAATGTACAGAAGTGATAAATATCTTATGTAGAGTTTAACAGAAAAAGCCCATAAACTTTATGACTTGCGATGTTAAGCCTATCGAGGCCGGTTGTCTTCATGAAAACGTGCACCCGAGGCCCCTACGGCCATAGCGGATAGAGGAAGTGGCTTAACCTGAGTATAAGTAATATTGTGGTCAGCGCAATACAGTAATGTCAGAAGTGGAAGGATATTGATACGTACTACCAGCGTTCTTACAAATCCACTCGTCCTCCAAAAGCTCCTTAGCAGAGCTACGCTTAGCTGGGTCCCACTGTAGCATCTTTTCCATCAAACGTAAGAAGCTAGCTTTGTCCTGCCCTTCAAGGGTTGTCTCCCGTTTCTCAAGCGGAATTCTATCTCCTACAGCGACATCCGCACAGAATTCACCTGTAATATAAAGGGCACTTAGCAAAGCCTCACTTCACCAGAGATTGTAGGTGGTATTGCCTTACCATCCTTGAAAAGAATTTATGACTTAAGTTGCCTTTGGCAACAAAGTCCGGAGGAGGAGGGCCGAGGAGCTGTATCATCTCCGCAAGGTGGGCTCGACCCCGATATGATTGAGACTCTGGGTCTTGACCGCTAAACAGAGACCCGCCTTCAAATATATTCCAAATCTATGAGGCCATGATAAGTTTTTGAATAAGTGTCTAGTAAATTTGCAGCAACCAGCCTTGCCGGGTATATTATCTTACCATACACCCAACATTCCAGATGTCAACGCTATACGTCCATGGGACCTCTAGAATCACTTCCGGAGCGCGATAGATATCGGGGTTGGATATCTTCTAAATGCTCTACACCGCCGGGCATTGCGGAGCCAAAGTCACAAAGGATTGGTGCACCAATTTCTCGAGGCTTCGGAGTTCCCGGGACATATATACTGTTCTTCCTTCAAGCTCTTTCCTTGGGGAAGGAGATTGGAGCTCGCTCTCTATAAAATCAGTAAACACTGTATCGTCGGCAATGCCAAACATAATATTGTCGGCCTTGAGGTCTAACGGGATATATTAGTGAGTAGATAGTAAAAAATATCAACACGAGTAGACTAAAGGGAGTATACCAGTATGTATAATTTGGCATTCGGTATGTAAATAATCCAGTGCCAGGAATAAGCGCTTGAGTGTAAATGCTAGGACTGGCGAAGGTAGTCTCTGGATTGGGTTGCGGTACAAAAATGTTAATAAATTTTCCCATAATGGAGGATGCACTAGGCATTGATGTGTATCTTCGGGTCCATTAATATTGAAAGAGTCTAGTAATGACCGAATTGCACCACGTCCTGGGTGACTCTTTGAGCTATGCTCGATACGTTGATACATCTGGAGCTCCTGATCCAACTGTTGTCCCATAGATGTAGATTTGATAAAAATCTTAACAGTAACATAGCGGCGGTAACTAAATGCAGGGACAGAGGCGGATTAGCATAAATAGCTATGTCTATCAGTAGCAAAGTCTTCCCGCCTCATATCTCGCGCAAGCCACACAGTCGAGCTGGCTCCAAACCCAAGCTTTCCCACAATCTGATACTGGTCTTTGAAAACCTCCCCTATCTTAACAGGATAGTATCGAGAAGCAACGTAACCTGGCATAGCCTCTTCTTCAATTTTCTGCGTTGCTGGTATCCGTGCAAAGTTCTGATTCGAGAAGTCGAGCGGTCGCCATGCCCTACCCAGCCGGGGAATGGAGCGAAGGAGGGATTGTAGCATGATCTGTGTTCGTGAATAAAGTCCTCAAAAAGAAAGACAATCAATACTTGGGTTTGGCGTGGATGAAAGAACGACACCAAGGGTGCTTGATACCAAGATTGAGAGAAGGTTGAGAGAGACGGGACTTCAAGGTTGCCCCAGGCCGTAGCTAGATCACATACAACTTGCTCAATTTTCTTATTAAGGTTGATCCCTAGCCAAATATAGCTCAGGGGCATTGACTTTCTTTTAGGCGCCGCTGAGGGGCAAGCAGGGCTGGTGCATGACAACATGCATATTCACCTCACCCCAACCGCCGCAGTCATTACTATGAGGCTTCCTATCAAATTATTAAAGCATGTGGACGTCTGTATTATAGCTCCTAAAGACACCTTTGGCTGAAGATAACTAACAGTTGACAAATTAACTAGTTTTTGCATGGATTATATCCACGAAACGCCTTTAAACCAACAATCAACGGCGGTATGGTATTGAAAACCTTCAACGTTTAACCGCCTGGCCCCCAGAAAGCCTACCGCAGCTTTCCATCTTGGTATTCTCAAGTTTCATATCATATAGTTAGCACTGAGAATGACTGGCTATCGATCGCATGTCTTCTTTTCTGCTACGCGCCTGCGTACCTAAATTTAGCTGAACGAGACCTTCCTCCTGACACCTGGAGTTCATAGCGATGAAAGGAAAGGCCATGGGGTTTGGGCATTCCCCAGATATATAAAGGTCTCTGATTTCCCGGTCATCATGAAATTATACAACCATTCTTTACATTCGTATCTCTATCACTGTCCTTCTACTCAGTTAACATAACTCTTCTACGTCCCTATTAGACTTGCTAGTATATCCAGCCGCTCACCTCAAACAGAACGGCCATGTCTAAAATTTTCACTCGGTCCTTTTCTGCTGCCCGCCAGCAGCTTGCAAGATGGGTGGGGTATAGCAGACACTCGCTCCCTGAAGAGTACAAGCTGGCTGTCGAGCATTATGCTGATAACGGTGCCGTTAAGGTACGCTTGAAACCCTGGGGTTGAGAAGCCTTTGGTTAACTAGGATATATTGCTAATTCCATCCTTAGAAAGTTGGCGAAATCGACACGATCGAAATTTTATGAGCTATTCGCGTTGATTTCTCCCCCGATTTAGTACTAACGAACGCTTGATATAGACATCGAAATGATGGAAGTAGCCCTGTTCACCGGTCTCACTTTAATCGCTCAGATAACGCGTTAATTATAAGCGCACGAATCACCCCAGTCAATGGTCGACCTCGAACCCATCACATCTATGTGGATGGAACCGGCACTTTCAGAATGGGTGACAAGCGCGAGTACTCAACTGCCGCCTGCCCAAGACAGCCCTAAGCGCCAAGTTATCGCATCCTCAAATGCAATTCCCTGATCAGCCCCTCGTGTCTGCGCCTGTGATTCTCGCCTAGCTGACGATTTCAAGCAAACTTAGGGGCCGACATGATTGGAGCTCGGGGTAGGCGGAGATTATAGGGCCGCTAGTGTATATAGTAAGGATAGGTTGCAAGGGGTACTCTGGGAGGGCTTGGTTATATATGTATGTTGGCCGCTTTGGTGGAGGGCTAGTATTGTAGGGAAAGTGTGTGTTGCCAGTAAGTAGGAGGCATAGGAATTCTGGTGTATGGTGCTAGAAGAATCAGGGTATAGACTTTGAAGTTCAACTAGGGAGAATCCGGCCTTCTTTAGATCTAGTAGTTGAAACGAAAATCTGACTCCGAATTTGCGACTATCTGAGGGCTTGGGCTGCCATGAAATTTACTATCTTTGGGAGCCTTTATTACCGAGATGATTTAAACGGGCCGTTTTGTAAGCCACTTATCGAAATAGGCTACCGCATTCGGGAGTTTGGTGAGGTCCATGAGTACGGAGTACCTCTTCGCCGGCTCATCTGTTGGAATATCCCTCGCAGCCTTTTCCCCGAGAAGATGGATGTTTTCTTATTTACATGCGATTTTCGCACGAATTCATTTCGATCACTCCGGCCGAACTGCGTTAACTTTGATTACAATTTGTACACCCAGGTCTTACGGCATTGAACTTTTACACGAGGCTTCGAGTGTGTGTACTGCTGTGGATGCTGAAATCTGAGTCCCGTCCTCAGCTGGTAATATTAAAATTGAACGGCGTAGTACTTTTTTGCAATTATAATGCACGGAAGTATCCAAGTATACTTAATTGCACTGTCTTCTACAAAATTACAGCGAAATATAATTGTGTGTTACGCAAGGCAGCTAGTCGGCGGATTTAAATCCTTCAGATAGCTCAGTAAACTAGTTACCTATCAGTAATAACTTTTGCAGATAGAATTGTGATTTGTATAACCATTAAACAACCTTGTAATATTTAAGTTAAACGCTCTCTTTTGCACGCTTAGGAGATATAAATTGTATAAGACACATCATAGATGTCCTTTATGCCAATGTTGAGTATTGATGCTGTTAGTAGTTAATACTATAACCAATTCGAGTTAATAAGGTAACTAATACTGTGCTCTGGAGTCTAAATATCTACCAAAGTTAATTTGGCAAAGCTTCCACCATAACTAGGTAGCCTTCTGCAACTACTTAATCCTTCAAAGGCTGTGGCCAAAATGCAGCATAAAGTCAACGCATGACTTCCCCCTCAGTAGTCGCACTTGATTGGCAAGGTCCCAAGTTTAGTCTGTACGACATAGAACTACATAGACCTTATTATTTTTAGCTACTGACAAGGATCTCGAGACCAGAATTCTCCGGAGATAGCAGCTAGAAACGACAGCGTGGGTGTTTTGGCAGAGTGCTAACTAATGCAAGCCACCACAGACCAGGAAGTCAGTTATTCCCTCACGAGAGCGCCAACGGACGTATCACTCCCCGACCAGCGCTGATCGCACACAACAGGCAGAGAAGGGTTTAGCCCATACTCTTTGAAGCGCCGCACTGGCGCTCTGTCACCGTCTGAGGTCCTGTGGCCATAGTAAGTACAGTATGGAGTAAAAAGGAATTAGTTGCTTATCACCCACGCTGTCTTGGCAATAGTTCGTTGTTAGCTAACTAGTAGTTAACGAACACCCAGGTATGCCCTTTGAATGCAATCAAGTCGGGACGATCGGATCCCTTTGGATCACCAAAGGCTGCCATATGTACAGAGTATGTATATGTACTCCGTGCATACTAATAAAAGACAGAGGAGGAAAGGAATATACGAGCCTACCAGGCGCTAAATGCTACGGTGTGGAGATGTGAAGTGTGCTCTGAAAATCTTGAGCACCTCCTAAATCTAGAAGTTTTAGGAGAAGATGGCCTCAAACTTCCAGCCATTCACCTTGGGAGTACGAAGCAGTCCGTATGACCTCCGAAGGAACCTCGTCCGCAACAGCCGGTCTGATACCTATGCCAGCGAGCTCTCCTGGTTGGTGTGACGGCAATCTGTGAGACCAAACCTGTAGCTCTAAACAAATCGAGAAATCTTGGATGATCTTGTTTGCTTTTGTTTGCTTTTGTTTGGTTTAGTTAGTTAGTTACCTAGTTAACTGCAACAGTTATCCAACAGAAATCTCAAAGTCCTGAGATGCTATAGCAAGTCAGACAGGGTGAGCGAGAGCTTGCATATATTTTCCGTCCGAAGCTTCCAACTCGTTCATCCCCTGCAAGTCGCTCGTACTCGGAACTGGGCTGCGAAGACCACGTTCTTTGCTTCTTTTCTTCCTAGTTGCTTTTTCCTAGTTATCATCCATCCCCTCTCAGTAGTTTGGAGCGAAGGCACAGAACAGAACCACGCCTCTATTACGGAAAAGCCGCATAATCCTTCTTTTCTTCTTCTGTTTAATGGAAGCATACTGTTCCGTGATCCGTACCGCATGGCATATACACGGAACGTTCGGTGGATATGAAGCCGGTTACACAGCATATTAAGAGCGAGTACGGAGTGCTCTCTCGACTCACTCCTACCCCTTTTTTGGCCCAAGGGGGCGAAGGTGTTTTCTGTTTTGGTGGGAATTCGAGGATCCGTGTAATACGTATATACTCCACAACACTAGTATTTCGTAGGTAAGTCGCACACGGCTCATGCAGTTGTTCCTTTGTCGAATATATTGTACAGCACGAAGGTGGCTTCGCATTTGCATAATTATTTGATTCCAGCAGCTGGGGGCAAGGAGACCGTGGCGTTACTACCGTGTGCGTCCGCAATCCGTATGAGTCCTGGTACTGTATGGTGGGCTTTTTCCTTATTGGCGGGAAGATGCTACATTTCATAAGCTAGAGCCAGAAGTCGATAACATAGCAGTCAACATCTTGAGTAGACTGCTACATAGCTCATTCATGGACAAAAAGTAGTTAAAGCTCCCTTTAGCCAGTGTTTCCCCTAAGGATCCCTTTTATTATATCGTCCAACGCCCAAAGTTTATCAAGATTTCATTTACCTATTAAGGTCGTTGTATGGTCACAGGTAGCGGTAGTTCGCTTTCTGAGATGATTTCATTTATTCATGCTGGCTAGTTAAAAACGTTCTTGAGTGAGAGTTCAATGGTGCCTGGGTTAGTTCCTGGGTTACTCCGGTCACAAAAGGTAAAAAGGGACGAAAAGACACGCCCTTTTGACTATAGACGCGAGGTCCGGCGTCTATAGTAGTTATGTAGATAGATCTCTCACGGCCGATATATTAGGTTATACTAAGTTCTTGATGGTTCTGAGATTGGCCTCTAGAATGAGCCATCGCTGGGGGCGCGAGCTGCGGGTGAGCGTTGTTACTTTCCATAGGCTTTCGGCTGAGACCCGATAGAGCACTGGATGGGATAACTATATCATCCAGTCATTATGACGATTCTTGCATGGAATAAGGTCTAGATCGAGAGAGGGTCGTCCTATGAACAGGTTCGTTCTTCTGACAAGGTCATCCCATCCAACATGCCTGCTTTCGAGGCAGCGCCTAAATTCTTGTCTCTAGATGTCACACTACAGACGATTACCTAGTGGTGCAGGGTATACGAGAAGGCCGTTGACTTCAAGTCGCAGTGGGCTCGGTTGTGAGGCCAAACTAGTCGACCGTGCCATGGCTTTGGCGTCACTGGACGGCGATTTCCGGGTACCACCAAGCCGAGAGGAACAATGAAGAACGCACGCCGTGGCTTGTTGGTGTTTCTATAAATGTTGACAGTAGAAAAGGAAGAAAGCTGCTTTCAGTTGGACGAAGTTCTGGATCCGCTCAGCATCCCCTGAGATACGAGATCGTGGCCGATGAAACCTTTCAAGATCTGCGCCAACTCGGAGACACTATCTATTTCTGGCCTAGCCGGCCCTGGCAGTGGGAACAGTGGGTAATGAACGCTGAAGATGAAGCAGGGACCGACACAAAGCTGGACGAAAATATGAGCCCGATGCTGAAAAATAAGAAATGAAAAATGAGAAATCCTTCGTTTTTGATAATGGCAGAATAAGAAGGCGGTGGGCTGGAGCTTCCGGTCTGGGGAAAGACGCGCTTCTCCTGTTTTGGGTCTTTTGACGTCCTCGATAATCAAACCACCGTCAGCCAAAACAAACCACAGACAGGCACGCACAACGGCGACGGTGCGGCACTGGAAACAAGCTAGCGGCGAGAAGAGACGTGAATACGAGCTTCAGTCGAGCCAACACAAAGTCCTCTCATCTGCGCGATGCAAGAAGGGGACAGACATGAGGAAAAGTGAGGGCCAGGCGGCTCCCCTTCCCATTAAGTATCAAACAGGTCAAGATGAGCTTTAGCCTGCGCATAAACAATTCTACCCCAGCGAATAAGTTGATTCCCTGTCCCGATCTTCCGGCAACGGTCTTACAGGAACGTAATATGGAGCCCTTTTTGAAAGGAGGCCGTGGAATAAGGTTGTGTTGTGTATACTTGATAGGAGCCTGATCCCTCGACCGAGAGACGAGAAGAAACAACCCTAGCAAAGAGATGCACGAAATCTTTTCTCAGGGATACGAAAAAGCATATATTTAGCAGTGACGAACGAAGCCCTTACTCTCTCGCTGGCCAAGCTCTGTGGGGTGCGTCTCTTGTTGCAAATCATGCTGGAAATTCACAGATATCGACCTGATATTTTTCCACTGCCAAGTAGTCGAAACTGCAGAGTAACTCTTCCGTACTTTCTATAACTACAGAGTACATATACACATTACACAACAGGCAGAGTCTCGGATATGAAGAATCTCGGGCCCGAAGCTCTTCAACCAATGAGCAGCGAGATACGTTATTTTTCCCACATGGCTAAACCTGAGGTCGTTCAGCTCTCAGCACTACTGTTGGCTTCGGAGCCATCAATATGAGTGCACCGAAGATCAAGACAAGAGAGAGAGTGGAGGGAAGAAAAAGAAAGAAAACAAACGGCAAACCCATCTTTGCCCTTTCTCTCCCGTGGAGATGATCTCCCCGTCGAGGACCTCGAACCAGGATCCTTGACTTGTTTTATCATTAATAATTTTCCTGGCCTATATGTGGCCTTTCCCAGGCTCCACCTATGTGGAATGACCTTTTTTCGTCAGGATTTGTGATGGAAGAGGTGGGTTGCTTCGTTTCCTCATCTTTTTCTCGTTCCTTTTTCTTTTTATTTTCTGGCCGTCACTTCTCCCTTTCTTATTTTTACAACTCTTCTTGGTCTGAACAGCGGCAGCCTCTTCGAGCATCGGAGTAAGTATCAAAAAGACATGATGCGACGACCCTGGCTAATACGCCGACCTAGGGACACTACGTTTAGTTATGGGCTGCCACTGCTGCTGAAACCTCTATCTATCGAAGCCATATTCGGACGGAAAGTCGACAAGGAACAAGAGGAGAGCACAGCTCGTTTTTCTTCGCTCCTCTGATTCGTTGACGGCTGCTCTTAGTATAATATATACGGAGTACCTGCCAGTTTTTTGCCTCAAAGCAGCGCGCGGCGTTTCTTGCTGAACTCCGTACGCCAGACTCCGCATTTATGCCTCTTGACGTGGACCCTCTGTGTTTGCGATCTCCGGCATGAACCTAGGTATAAGCAACCCATTCTATTACCAATACTGTCGCCATCATTACCATTCCTCTCCCGCTCTCTGTTCCACTCCTTGGTTAAAGATCCCGCCCCCATCATCAGTCGTGCAACCCGCATGCCTCGACCCCTTGTGGCTGACCATACTTTCCTTTTTGTCTTTGCGAGTGGTGGTAAGTCCGTTGTCTTCCTACGATCGATCACTCTTTCAATCGTCATACGTTCAATCCCTCTCAAACGTTCTTTTTTCAAGCTTGACCAGTTTCGTATAATCTGGACCCTCGGGACTTTGCTTTTTCCTCCTTCCCCTCCCGCTGCGAAAAGACAGCAGTGAAGCTACTTCCGTGATACATTTCTCCTTGCTTTTCTACCATTTTTGTTCCCTCTCATTCCCCGTCATCCCATGCGCCCACCCTGGCAGATGGAAGCCATGTGCTGCCTCCTGCACCTCTAGTCGTCCAGCCATACGAAGTTCCATATCCGCTCCTTTCCCTCGTGGTGTACAAGGTTCCCAACAATTTGCACAAAATACGGTTAGCATCCTGCCTCATCATTTACGCCAGGTAAAGGTCGCATTTTAGCCTTGTTTTTTTATAAGGATTTTCCCTTGACCTTTATCTTCTGTGATCCTTGGATGATCTTTGTGTGGGGTTCGGAAAAGTACTCGCAATTACGATCCTGATCATTACGCCCGGGTAAAGGGTTGATTACTTTTTCCTTTCCTAGTCATTATATCAGCGGCTGTGAAAGACAAAGCCGCATGCTATAATTGTGGACTAGGGCTTCCCCCTTATCTTTATATATTCACATGCTCCTCCTTGACCTTGTTCTCAATAATGCTTCCGCGTTCTCATATTAACACCAGATCCATTCTAGATCCAGAACTCCTCAATCCCGAACTAGTCTCTGCACCATATTCATTGACGTATGCACTGCGTTCGGCTTGAGTGCTACCTTGTATAGGCTGGATATCTTGTTCTCAAAACATCTACAGCTCTATTCACAATTTTGCACCGTACCAAAATGGATCCCAACCCGATAGATGACCACTCGAAAAAATCAAATGCCGCCCTGCAACCCTTGCAGCCACTAGGGCATGGGAACGTGAAGCTCACGCCTAACTACTGGTACAGGGGGCCAGAACTGCAGAGTCACCAACGGCAATATCAACACCCATTGACATACTGGCACCATCCACATTCACTGCCAAACCAGCCTGTTTCTCCTCAAGAAGCTTTCCATGGACAGTCTGTTCCCGCTTCTCCCGCAATTCCTGAGCAGAAGAAGCATAAACGTACGAGGAGCGGCTGCTTTACCTGCCGTGCCCGTCGAGTCAAGGTAATTCCGCCTGAACCTTAATATCAGTTGTATCCTGCTAACGGTGATGCCGTAAAGTGTGATGAGAAGCGTCCTACCTGTGACCGTACGTCTATTAATCCCTTTCCTCTGTTATATTCTCCTACTCCTTACCATTTTGTTGTATTGACAGTTTATATTTAGGTTGTGGAAAGGGGAAACGGGAATGTGTATATCCCCCACCAGTTCAAAAGTCAGCAAAGAAACATAGCGTGAAAGTGGAAGAGACCTGCCCAGTGATTGCCGAAAGCGAGCCCGAAGGTGAAGAGAACGAGAAGGACCAAAATGCCAGTCGAATTACATCGAAAAATCCCCAAGAGGCAAAATCGCCAGACCACACAGCGGAGCGACGTACAAGTAATACTGTCAGGAAAAAGCTCGGAACTCGTCGATCTGCCAATACCAGCCATCAACAGAAATCCGTGAATTCGGATACCTGGGCAACCTCGCAAGACGCTAGTGTATCCCCTGCCAGTGATGTGACAGCGCATTCTACAGGGTCCCACAGCCCTACAGCCCATGCCGATACTTTTTGGGATCCACATGACGATATCCCAGACTCTGCATCTAGCATTGCAGATACCCCTAGTCTTAGTGACGATGTAAAATTCTTTCTAGGATACCATACGCAGCACATCACACACACACACTACATGATGAAATCTGTTGCTGCCAAATTCATTAGCGAAGACCTGATGAAATACGCCTTAGAATACGAACCTCTTCTTTATGCCGTGGTCGCATTTTCTGCCTATCATTATTCTATTCGGCATCCTAATGGCCGGCTCTATACCTTTCTTCAATACTACAACAAATCTGTTTCATCGCTGCTTTTTTCTCTGAAAAGTCACCAACCTCACAAAGATGCTACGATTCTCACTATACTTCAACTAACTACTTTCGAGGTATGTCGCCAGCCAATATCACGGCAGTTAGTGGTCCGTACGTTGATTGTTGCATCTAGGAATACGTTGGAGACTGGGTCAATCTTATAGACCATCATCACGCAGCTCACCAGATGATTCTTCAATTATACTCACCTGACAAGGTCTTAGATGACAGATTCCGCATGCACATCGTCCATTGGAACATGAGGTACGATGTCATGGCTGGTTTGATGGCCGGTAATGCCACAATCCTGGGCCGAGAATGGTATATAAGAGCAGAGAAGAAAGCGTACCAGGAAGCTACAGACGATCCCAATTCTCTGAGCAAGGAGCTCTTCGCCTTTTGTGCCTGCAACAAGCGGTGCGCAGTGGATCTTGCCTCTCTCCTCGGCAAAGTTTCCCAGAACCTCATCTCCCAAGAGGAATTCCTCGCCGAAGGAAGAGTGATCACTGAGACTATGACAGAAATGATTCGAAAGCTCGGCGAATACAATGACCCAAATTACCTGGTCATGAGTTATCCAGAGAAGATACCGTTGGGGATAAATGACATTGTCGATCCCTATGTTCCGGGGCTTGTCCATACTAGTCCGTTTAGTGAAGTTGATTTAGTTAAACTGGAACTCCGAAGCAGCCTCTTAATGTACAACTGCCAAATCGGTTTGATCACACAATCACTGGAACCAGCTGAAATGTCGAAATTTGCATTGGAACAATGCCAGCTGGTTGAGACGATAAACAGGCTACCCGAAAAGGCCTCAATGTTCCCTCTAATGTTTCATAATGTACTGGGCTTGATTTGCTTGTACATTCCGCCTGATGATCGACATAGGATGTGGTGTCGGAAAAGGCTTGCTGAGATGGAACAACACGGGTAAGCTGCAAAATTAAGATACAAATCTCCCCATACTTTTCTATAATTATTGTCTTGCTGCGATTAAGCTGGTTACTAACCGTTATTTCACATAGTTACATATACCCTCCCGCATTTCGAGCGAGGGTAGCAGATATCTGGAAAGTCCCTGAAGTTGCAGACTGGTGGCTGCCAAACAGCGAAGGATATCCCAAATTAGTTCGAGAGATCCGAGAATGGACGTCAGAACGTACTACGAATCCTAGAGACAATTTCAGGGAGGCAGTGAGGGATATCCGGTCTATTTTCGGTAGAATGACTTGCTCCGACGATAGCAGCCAGGGCAGCTCGCCAAGCGCGCATAGTGGAATCCATCAAAGGCTATCACCCCCACAGTCCCCCCCCTAAAGGACATAATACATCCCAGCCTTAATGTTACGGGGCCAGACCCCCCACGGACCTCACATTTCATGAGCACAGTTTTGCAATTTGCAAAATACATGGTCATTTTAATGCACTTCCACCGCATTACATCAATAATTATCCATATTACAGGTCTTGAAAGATATGGGTTGAATGTTCTATGTGCATTGTGTTCTCAGCATCACCTACTGCATTTTGTGATTTGGAATTGTACTTGGCAGTATAGGGAAGTATGTGTGATAAAACCAACTCGTCCACATTTGGCGTCGATAATTTGGAAAAAACGTGCTGACGTGTCTTCAAGGACATTTTCTGTAAAATAGGCTGAGAATCTAGGGAGATGTACCTATAGACTTATCTTTGATGTTAGGTGTTTTCTAGATCAAACAATGGGTAGTGCGGTATGAAACCAGGACTCGATGTCCGCAAAGGAGTTCAGATCGTTTATCCAAACTGTAGACTGTCGTTGCTACGTAAGATATTTAGTATCAACAACACCCAGCTTGTGCTTGCATACGAGATGCCCAAAGTAAGGCAACATTGCTTGAGTAATAGGCATAATATGTTTTAAAGGATACCTACTTTAGCCAATGGTAATAACGTTATTCATCAAGGTCATATATCCTAATTTTTTTCCCAGAACCTCCAGCAACTTCAACAGCTTCAATGACGGTCTCCAGACCTTGCGCCAACTCGCTTCCAGTCCCAGGTTCATAACCTCGATCAAATTCTGTTCCCCATGGTAAAGAATCAACATCAACCTTTAGACCAAGAAGACATTTCAAGATCACAGAAGCACCTGCCTTGCTGATAACAAGGTTCATTTCAGGACAAAGCTCATTGCAAACGCACTCTACACAACCTTGAGCGGCTGTGCATGCGCATGTATCGATGCGGGAGTTAGCACGAACAAGAAGGGTATCTATAAATTCGAAGGCCTTGGAGGTAATTCCAGAACCAGATGTACCTCCTTTTGCATCGTAGAAAACAAGCCGTGCCTGTCTCTGGCGACGGGGCGCGGGGGGTGTAAGGGGGTGGAAGAAGTGGTTTCGTGCCCTTGAATCTTGATCACGGTTAGACCCTCCTGCTGCCTGCTGATGTTTTGGCCCTAGTTCTTTCTTTGCGACTTTGCACTCCGTTCGAATGTCTCCAGGCGAGGATATCAGGAATGTTGGGAGAAGTGACATGATTGCATGCTCCGCTGCATGTATAGCAGCTGCAGCATTCAAATTATGGGATGAGAGGATTTCTAATGCAGTCTTTGGCACATCCAACCATAGACCCTTGCTCAGTTTGTCAATAGGAGGATTATCAAGGGCCACAGCGTCAAGTATTCGACCCTTCTTGTCTTTCTTGAAATATCCGTATACTAATGTGTGAATAGCAATTTTTCCAAAGAATGCCCTATAGTCGGATAATCTGCTAATACGCCTGATTGCCTCAGTTTCAATAGGGTCAACATTTGTAAAGTCCCGTTGTTCGGTGATCCAGTCGACATGTACACGAACCACTCTTGCAAACCGTTTAATTGTATTAAGCTCTTTCACGAGGTAGGTGTTTCCCTGATGAAAATATATGGCGCCCTCATAGACAGTGAAGAAAACACGAGCATCCTCAATCTCTTCAATAACAATATTTCTGTTGTTGGTGGTGTCTATGATGGCATAGTTCCCCTCGTCGATGCTTCTAATCGAAACGAATTTTGAGGGGTTAGGTCTAAATCTTTCATGACAATGATAGAACCCCATATCGTCCTTTATGAGCCGAGTAGCTGCAAGGTGCGCCAGCTGTGACCCGAAATATGCAGAGTCGTTCTCCGGGCGAATAGGCATTTCGAAGGCGGCACACTGAATATGACCTTCAAGGACAAGCTCATTCTCTAGATCAACAAGTAGCCCACAATTGGGCTTTGTGAAGAGATCGTCGGGGTTATTCATATAGTGTTGGTCTGCTGCGCTCCGACCAGCAACCAAGATCGACAGAGAGTCTTTATTTCTCCTCCCTGCCCGCCCACTTTGTTGTCTAAAATTGGATATTGAATGAGGAAATTCATGCGTAATTACTGCATCCAACGATCCAATATCAACACCAAGCTCCAGTGCATTTGTTGCCACAATTCCAAGCAACTTGCCCTCAAACATTTCGCGTTCAATTTTCCGTCTATCCTGTGGACTGTAACCTCCTCGGTAGCCCATCACGAAGCGAGACACATCTGCCCTATCAAGCGTACGGAATTCGTTCTTGACCGTATTTAACAGATATTCACATTGTTTGCGAATACGACAAAATGCAATGACTCGTACTCCACGTAGAATAAGTTGGCAAAAGATCTTAGCTGATTCATCAATACTGCTTCCACGGCCGGAGCTAGCATCATTAGGATCCTTGTATGGTGGCTGCCAGCAAAGGAACTCCTTTCGTCCTGAGGGCGATCCGTCGATATCAGTCAATTTCACTTCGTCGACGCCGAAAATAGCCTTCATATGCTCTTCTGGATTTGCCACAGTTGCAGAGCATGATATAAATTTTATATCAGAATTCCCTATCGAAGCACATATCCTTCTCAAGCGACGCATGATGAGAGCAACATGGGTCCCGAATAGCCCATTGTAGACGTGAAGCTCATCAACAACAACGTACTTCAAATTTTTCAAAAAGGTCCTCCACAGCGACTCGTGTGGTAGAATAGTCATATGGAGTATGTCAGGGTTTGTGAAGATAATTCTCGCCTCTTCACGGATTGAATTGCGACTTGTGATTGGCGTGTCACCATCAAATGTTTCTACCATAATATGTTCCATGCCTTCCATGTACTGCAGCATGTCAAGCATACTTCGTCGTTGGTCTTGCGCTAGTGCCTTTGTTGGAAAAATATACATCCCTCTACTGTGTGGATTTTCCTCAAGCTCGTGAAGCATAGGCACCTGGTATATGAGGGACTTCCCCGAACTTGTGGATGTAGAAACAATGACATTGTGGCCATCATGGAGGTCATTTATGGCTTTTGCCTGATGAGAGTAGAACTGTGTAATCCCCCGAGTGTTGTACAGTGCATTAACCAGGTTCTGTGAAAGAAGGAAATTTAAATCTCCATAGGCTGGCATTTTAGCGTCGAATATACGATACCCGCCATTTACAATCTGATTACAATACCAGGTCTCCCTTTTGATATCAGATATTATGTCCGCAATGCTTTGTCTTGTCTTGGGTATCTGTGCTGGAATTTTTGCGGCGGTGGGTATGTTGCATCCACTATCGGGGGATAGAGGCATGTATAAATCTTTTCCTGCTTCTAGGCGCTGCACTGGGTCCACGTTATCGTCCCGACAGCTGGCTAAAAAGGTATCAATAGCGACGGAAAATTTCTTGTTCCTCTTCTCAATCAATGCAGTCATTTTCTTTTGGCTATAGACTGGCGTTCTAATATCTTCGTAACCACCTAGGCCTACACCTGGCTGTGACTCGGGCTTGAGGTCTCCGTCCACAAATTCGAAAAGAAGTTCAGTATCAGGAGGTGGTCGTTCGCCATCTTTAGCATTTAAACCCATTCCCTCCACCTCCCAGTCGTTCCATATCTCGGAGGTTTTCTTTATCCTGACCTCTTTCACTCCCATAATACTGGTCACACCTGTATCTGAAAGTTCAAACCTGACAGAGTGTGGAATGAGAAACCTTACTCTGGCAACATCTTCAACAGTAAGCGGTCGGCCGCCAGTTTGAGACTCAACAGAGCTTCTTATTTTCTTAAACGTCGTGGTGTAATGCTGACGAGTGCAGCAGAAGGTATACACGACATTCAGCGCCCGATGAATCCTGCTCAGGGCTTTAAACTCCTCAGGCCAGGGTATTGCAGATGAAGGTTCTGAGCAAGAGGCGATTCTAGAGTGTGAGGGCATAGCCGACGGCCTGCTCTTCGCTAGGTTCCCTTTATCAATACCATCATAACCAATGACAACCGGGGTTGAATCCTGTTTGTCTCTACCATCATCACCCTCTCGCTTCCTCTTCCTCTGGTTTTCCATGGTTCTTAAAAGCTATGGATATTCAGCCACAATCCCATGAGCTTGAATCATTCAAGCCATTAACATGTGCACAGTCGGCGGGTTTTCCATTTCCCAACATGGTATCACTTGTTCTTCATCTTACTTTTCCTCATTCTTCCGACGTAGCCGCGATAAAAACGCATCATCACGTGACATTTGCTCCTCGACCCGGCCAGCAATTACCACGCAAAAAGAACCGGGAAAACAAAGAGAAGGGTCTTCGTAAATTTACTCCAACTATTTTATCTGCTGTAGATCACATATTCCGCGGAAGAGAAAAAAAAACTTGCAAAATTATAACCTGGACAATGTGATAATCGAAATCACGACCTTCCGTATGCAAAACGGACGTTATACCACTAAACTAATTGCCCTGGAATGCATCAACTACTCAATCTAGCTAGGCTTTATGGCTGCTTTTAGGCACAGGAAATCATGGGAATTCGTGGTACTTCTCATGCCTTCATGAGAATTCACGAAGTTATAACGCATTAATAGAAAGAGTATACAAGCGCTTCAACTACTGTCAGATTTACACGATGAGACAGCCATCCCGTCTCCCTACCCTAGGGGTGGGAAGCGCTTCTCCTTTCCTTTCTAATCTCTAATTTCTACCTTCTTCACGCCCTCTCCATCTTTCTCTTCTTTCTTCATACTCACCTACCCAAACCTCTAAGAAAGAGACAAGCAAACACAAGGAAAACAATATACAATCCGAAGGTGAAACTTGATCTATCCACAAACAAAAACGCTAAGAAATCTGTGGTACAGGTTAGGCTCTTATGTCAACCCCCTTTCTATAGCTGAGTTAACAGAAATAGCATTATCACTTGTCACCCCTTATCGTTCCAACATCAATGGCCGATAACGCAGGAAAGGACAAGGGAAAGGGAAAGGAGGAGCCCTAATTCGGGGAAGCATCTTATTGGGTTATGGTATCTCCAGCCACGGCAAATGCTATGATGTCTTCTGGCAAGCGCTCCCAATACAAACGAAAGAAGATAAACTGTGAAATGGCGTATAACATTCTGAGCAGAAATGAGGGACGCACAGAAAATCAGGAGGCCATGGGGACCCAAGGGTCGAGTCAGAAGTAGGGCTGTCACTAGCATAATGCTGGTTCACCGAAGGCGTGCCGAAGTTTGTTGTCGTATTCTCTTCGGTCTTCCATCTTCTTATTGATAGTCTCGGTGATATCGAATGCCCAATGTGATGCCATAATAAGACTGTATTCCTGTTCGTATTGTTCATATATGTCCTCCCTAATAAGTTTTGTTTAAATCCTATCAGTGAATAGGCGGAAAATAGCAAGAGGATTTTCCCATCCTCTTGTCATTATCGTTGATAAATTGGTGGCCGTTTAGTATCAAATTCTTCCTAGGCTAAGATTTATATAAATTCTGTCCATAACCTTTTGTATTTATCTTCCTTAATAGTATTAACGAAATCGCCTGTAAGCCAATAAGGCGGATGAATCATCTCAATTAGTAGAGCGCAACCCTATTCAAGACCCACAAGTGAAGTAATATTCCACTTCTCATCAACAAATATATTACTCTGATAAAGGTCAGTTAACGAGAATATAAATAGACCCCGGCATAAGTCTCGTCAGAAAAAAAGAGGGATTGAAACACGAGTTCCTATTAAGACTGTCGCTTACTAAATAAAATCTGACCCATCATTAATAGCATTTAGTTGATAGCGTAAACGGTTATTGTGAATACCTACAATATCAGTAATATAAGAATCTATAGTTAAGTAGGTATAATCACAGTATATATTTATAGGGATTTCATCATTCTCTAGTTGTTGAATTTCGGGAGTTAATGGCCGATTAGAAAGTAAGATAAAGCCGTTTTTATCTATAACAAATGATCCGATTTTAGGTAAAGGGACACGGGCAAGGCTCAGCATTATACAAGCAAGGCCCTGAAATAATGTAGTCCTCAGAGTTATATTGTTTAAATAGTTGGCCCAAGTATCTGAGAGCATCCTTCCTCGGTTTAGCTCGATACACTCTATTAGAATATATCCGAGGTCTGGCGGGATTGCAATAGGATGGGGGACGTATTGAGATAGAATCGCATGATCAGACCATATAAATCTGTTGATCCATGAGAGTATTTGGCGATATACACGGTGATATAGTCTAGTAAGGAGTGGTAAATCCCCTAAGTGAACTAAGACTATTTATTAGCTAATTCTACTATATGACATAGAGTAGGGAGACTTACTGATTCACCAGACGATAGTGAGAATCCGTAAAGTTGTGGAATAAGGATACCAGGGTGATTTTCCTAAAGCCATGCATAAGTGCCGGCCTCACATCTAATCTTTTCATCGGAGTTACCTGGCCTAAATGCTTCGCCAAGTTTGAATGGAAGAGGCACTCGAAGAAGAACGCGATGTTTAGGCTGGGCCTTTATCTAGCCTTAAACAGCAACTGGGATACATATGTTGAAGCTGCCCTTGAGCCATTCTGCTGATTCGGCTATATTATATCTCGAAGGGTTAATGTTTAGGTGATAAGCAACAACACTCGTGATCCAGCCATCCCTTTTGGCAAGGCCGGCGATGAACTGGGTTTGCTTCTCGAAATATTGAAGTTGGTTGAGAATGTTGACTTCCTCATCTTTGATATCAGAGTAGGTTATTCCTTCTCCTGTCGAAGAAGGCGGTGTTTCTTCGCAGCGGGCATTCTTTCCAGGATAACAATGACATGGTAATAGAAATGTGGAAATTGACATGCATCTGGATGAGATCGAGATCTTAAGTAAAAGTTCTCCTTTGTCGGGCCAATAATAGAAGCTTGCCCAGGAACTATGTTGGTAAATTAATTGGATCACGTGAAGTTACTAACTAACTAACTACCTCCTAGGTACCGAGTTAACTAGTGCCGATCGGCTTCTACTGAATAACGTCAGTTTGCAACTTCCTTCAAACGTTGACTATCTTTACAGTATCTTATTTCTGGTAATTTTGATAATTAGCATATCTTGTACAACTGCGGCTATTCCCTCAGCGGAGAGCGTTTTAGTGTCCGTAGCGCCTACCCAATAACTAGCCTTAACGTATGATATTGAGGAGCACGCCGTAAATACTGCCCTTGCCATGCAAAAGTGGCACGTGGATAGATAACTACGGGACTGCATTAACTAGATTAAGCGCTGCCACGTTGCAATGCAGTATGCTATAATATCCTTTAATCTTATAGCTATCTCATTCGCTGCTTAAAGGCCACTATTTATATCTATTGTATAAATAAACAATTAAATAAATCTCTTTACGCCGTTCGGTTACTATCTAACCATACGGGTGCTTATCTAACTAAACTAGCTAATTATCTACACCTTCTCCTAGTTCCCTAACCCTTCTATAACCCTAATATCTAGAGAGCCTAGATACTATCACCTATAAGATAATTAGCCAGGGTAAACTGTTCTAGAATACCCTGCTTTAGCCACCACTTGGCTAGAGACGCACACTCACCTCTCTTATCTACTAGGTGACGGTATCCATGCTCAATAAGCTCAAATCCTGCTAAGTAGGTTTCATGTTCCTTCTTCCTATTATCTTTTCCTCTGTTGGGGGGAAGTTCCTGTGGTTGCAGAGTTTTCGCTCTGCTTCTACCATCCTCCTCCTCCTCCACCACCACCACCACCACCACCACGGGGTCAATTTCCATGGTTTCTTCAATTAGAGCCATTCTCTAGGCTCTCCTCTCCTCCTCGTTCTATCTGGGGTATTTTATCGGTATAGAATGTGGTGTTGATCTGTAGTTCTATATTATAGAAACTTATAACTTTGAATATCTATTATATAGTTGCGGGTGGCCTTCCTCAATATTCTCGCTATTTTTAGTATATATTTTAAAGGTACGAACTGGTGAATATATTAAAATGGCAGTGTCTTGATACCCCTTCTTCATCTTCTTTTATTCTAGTGCCCAGGTCATTCAACTAGCCGAGAAGAAAAATACCATCCAGAAAATGGATAATATAACTGGCTTTCAACCTTTGAAAATCCTAGCAAGGCAGAAAGGTGTTTGGTATCCTAGTAGATAAATTAACTTGGGTGGCAGCCCGCTGCCTGGAATATATCCAGTCAAACAGCCTGGGGATGATATCCCGAGGCCTAAGTGAATGCCTACAGCTTTCTGCTAACTGGAAGCCCATCGGATATAAAAGGTATTTCTTTACGACTTGGTGACTTGCTTGGCTTCACCAGACAACTGGCTACTGGTCCTAGACACCGCGTAGAGGTGCAAGTCTTGCCTAGGTAAAACAAGAACGCCCAAACGCAGAAATGCCCAAACGCCATAACAAAAGAGAAAAAAGAGGGAAAACATCACATCACATTTCCATATCACACACCGGAACACCACCAGCCTCTCCATCATTCAAGACAGGAGAGGAGTCGGAAAAAGCGCTGGCAGGCTCAGGAGCAGGGTCACCAGAAAGCACCAACTGTCCGACTCCCTGCAGGCGTCGGACGCGTCAATCCCTTCCTCAAGGATCGAAATCCTCTCCTCTTTCCAGAGGATTTGCAGCCTGTCGAGCTCGATCCCCTTGCGGAGACGAACGGCCTCTGCCGCCTTCTCTTCCCGCGAAAGACCTCGAAGCCGAAGCTTCTCAGCCTCCTTCCTCCTCTCCTCCTCCTCCGCCGACCTTGGCCCGCCCTCAAGAAACCCTCCGCCACGCCCCCCGCGTCCCCCACCACCCCCTCTCCCTCCTCCTCTTCCTCTCCCCCGTCTCGCTCCCCCACGGCCGTGACCATGCCCGTTGGCATGGTAGTTGTAAATCGTAACGTTCTTAGCTTTGAACGTCTATGTCAATCGTATATTAGCCGCATTCATGCAATCATACTTGTTATTCCCATAAAAGAGAGATAAGAAAAACAAAAGAAGAAACACTTACCATATTGTCGATAGTCTCTGTATACGCGATGAGTGGATAGTAATGGGTCAGTCAAAGCTTTCTGCACGCGTTTAAGAGCCTATACAAAGTTAGGTACTTACTCGAATCTGAACTGTTCGGACAAGGAGAGGAAAAAGAGAAAGAAAGAGAGGAAAGAAAAGAAAACAAAAGAAGCAAGAGCTGGAGAGTGTGGTGGGAGGGGGCTAGGGCTGGCGCTAACCCCTTTAGGCCTGTCCTGTCCTCTCGAACTACCTAAGATAATATATGTCCTGCTTACCTTTGTAAGCGAGCTGATGGGTATTCTATGTTCTGTATGCCGCCTATCTGTTTATACAGCCAGTGTAATGCCAACCATCGGACTTGTCCACTTGTAATTACGGGTATAATCCTATGTACCATCATTCTTCTCAGGGGTATCTATAAAAGGTACCAGGCAGTAAATCCGAGATAAGCAGGTAGTAAATTGGAATTATTATAATTTAATAAAGATGTTTCTTTGAAAAATGCTCCCTTTCTACTGTCTCCATATCCTTGTGTCCCTCCTCCCTTCTTAATCTAAATTTCTTTAGACTATACAAAGAGAATGGTTTGTGCATAGTATAGAGGTTCCTTAGTGTTTTGTTAAGTATATTTAGGGAAACAACTAGTCGCCCTCAATATTTATATAAGTATAGTAAAGTGAAATACACGTGGTTGTTTTTTTTAAAGAATGATAAGGATGGTAAATTAGTTTCATTAGTCAGGTCACGTGAAGTTGCTCGTTAGCGCCAATCGGCTTCTGCCGAATGACGTAGTTTGTAACTTCCTTCGAACTCCGTTATCTCTAATTCTGCATTTCTATAAACACACAACAGTTGAATGAGCCCTCAGTCTAGTAACTACCCAGCTGGTGCGTACGAATTTACATGCTCTATTCCCCTGATACCCTAGTATCTTTGAAATATAGACCATCAACCAGACATACACCGTTGACTATCTTTGCAGTATCTTATTCCTGGCATCGTTGGTAATTAGCATATCTTGTATAACTGCGACTATGGCCGGTATCTTCAAATATCTTAGTGAATGGATTTCGGAAAATTTTCCCTCGGCCGAAGATACCGATCGCGAAATTATGAGAAGTGAGGCAGAAGCAAGGGCTCGGAGCAGCGCACGGCATATCGAGTACATCATCGATCTCTTTGAAGATGAAGTTTCTTATCAGTATCCTCATCGTACCGACATCATTACCGTGGTCAAAAAATTTAGGCAGGCCATATACGATGAACATGGTAGGGTATCACCATATTCCCTGCTCTGCCAATCCAGGCATTTCACCCCCGAGGGGGAAATAGCTTTCGACAAAGTGGTCGAAAGGTGGTCAGATTGGACCAAGGTAGCTAAGGAGTTTGCCTTCTTGAAGGGCTATTCCCCCAGCGGAGAGTATATCAGCGTCCGCAGCCCCTACCCAATAGCCTCAACGTATGACACCGAAGAGCACGCCGTCGATACTGCCCTTGCCATGAAAAAGTGGCACGTGGATAGATACGGGACGGCGTTAGATTAAGCGCCGTCAGTCTTCTTTTGAGTTCAACGTTGCAATGCAGTATACTATGATACCCTTTTGATCTTATGGCTGTTTTATTCGCTGCTTGAAGGACACCAGTTGTGCCTATTATACGGCGGCGGGTGGCCTTCCTCGATATTCTCGTTACTCTTAGTGTATATCTTAAAAGTATGAACTAATGAATATATTAATATGGCAGTGTCTTGATACCCTTTTTATCCTCTTCTTGTTCTAGCACCTAGCCAGCTGTCCTCTGCTGGGCTTGAAGGTGCTGTATATCACCATACGCACCTTCCGTAATGGGGCAGAAACGTGACTAAGCGCGATGGAGAGACACATAAACCTGTGGCTCGAAACTGACGCGAGTCTTTTTCTTCTCAAGACTTTCTTCTCCAGGATCGCGTCTCTCAGAACTATAGTCCTAAATTACTGAATCGAATTTCGTTTCAACATTATCCAACCCTACTCCTTACAACCAGCAAGTTGACGGCCTTTCGACTAGACTTCGAAATGGCTCCAGGGTATAGCAGGTTTGTTTCTCTAAGTCCTAACTTACAGCACACTTATACTAATGTTTATTCCTTCTGTTGTTAGACGCGATGTCGAGATCCTGAGAGTATGGCTAGATTCGGACGAGGTGAAAGACTACATTACTGCATGCGATGAGAGGAACGGGAATTATGCATTCCACAAGGCAAGGTGTAGGCAGCAATTTGCTAAACTATTCTATGACAATATCAGAGAAAGTGGTGAACTAAAATACCCCGGGGCCCTCTGGATTATGGCTATTATTGGTCGAATTCTAGCCGCCTTTCTAAGGAAATCAGCACTTGAAATTATAACAAGTAGCAGCGACTGGAATGGGGCCTATTGGCTCGGGGAACTTATAAGTTTATTTAGTATGGGGCTGCAATTAGTTATTGCTTACAACTCGAGGTGGAGTACCACCGCAACCCGTACCATGATATTGGTATGTACCTTTATCTCTCACCTGACGGACTCTATTTTCGCATGCTACCTTGGGTCTAGAGAAGATAAGGCCTTCTTCAACGGCATATCCTATGTGTCAAGGATTGGTAGCGAGCTGGTCATCACAATTATAGGCTGCTGGGGTATGATACGTACCACGCAGCCCCAAGAAGTGGACAAAGCCGAATACCTGAACAGGTGGATTAAGCTGCCCGTTGACTACAAGTATTGGGCCGAAAGCTCTCTCGCTAACCACCGCGACGAAACAATCTTCCAGAAATTGCCTCGCCGCGGTCGCGGACCAATCATACAAACTCTGCCGAGAGCCCTTCCGCCGTTGGCCCATTAGTCGCTAACTATCTAAACAGTAAAAAAATTCAAACCCGTATAACAGACGTTAGCGGGATATACTCGAGTTATATCGAGAACCACTGATCCCTAGCTGCATTTAATGCGCTATCGATTACGTGGATGCGATGACAAAACGGGATGAACACATTGGACATTTATGGAGCTTCGGACCTAATATATAATATTTTTCAGACGTATAGTCTGACCGAGCCTTCGGACTCGGAGTCATCGCGTCTATATGTGTTCAACCCACCCTCCTTTTTTGTTGGCTGATGGTCTGTGGCGACCATCTGGTATCACGCTGAGAGTCTTTACGCCTTGTTACGTATAAGATGAGGGTGTGTGTGGGTTCGAATCCTACAGCTGACGTTTGCCACATCCCTACATTACTTTTCCTGATTCTAAGAACCAAACCTCCCTTTCCGGTAGGGTTTCGAATTACTACTTCCCCTCCGTCCTAGAGCTAATTCGCCCCATTTTCTAATCTTTCTTGAGCTTCAGGCCTCCTGATGAGGATTTCGATAGAACCTTTCAATTGAGAATTTTGACAGGGGTCTTCTCCGGCAAGTAACGGAATTCGACGCCGAAATCACTCCCGGCAGCAATTCGGCCCCGTAGCTCGATCGAGCAATATACTATGGCTCAGTATCTACTTTGGCGTTGTATGTTAGTTATACCCGCTCGGTTACCAAGGAGCCGTCTAACCAATTTGCTAACTGGATGCATAATTCGTATAGGCACAAACGGCACGGGCATCCTATTTCTCCCAGGATAAAACGTCGTAGCATTGCTGCTTGAGTGGAAGTAGAAGCTAGAATCGCACTTCCGTAGTTATAGGATTGATATATGGTTTAGTTGAATCAGAGTACAGATCGATCTAGTTGGGGGAAGTGAGTGTAAACGATGACTTTCCAGCTCACTCATCAAATTATAATGTTTGAATTGTGTAACTTCGGAGTTGTGTATACCCGGATGACATATTAGGAGATAGATATGTGACGACAATAATTTTTGTTGATATCTACTTACTTTAAGATAAAATTCGGTTACCTAGCATAACGCAGGTCTCTTATTCACAGGTCAAGGAAGAGCGTAACTACTCGTTGCCTTCACCTGCACACACCTCCCTGCAAGTGCGCCACACCGTAATAATATATCTAGTTAGTTGTCCCTACTACGTTATTTCAATTGGATAACTACTTTAAACTTTCGTTAACTTACCAGGTAGTCAGTTCGTGGACTAACTCGAGTGGCGTGGGCCCTGAGCCGCACGCCAAGGAAAGAACCGGCCTTATTTCAACGTTTAACCGAGTGAATCGAAGTCCAACCCCTAAAGAGCCCACCTTAATCCTGGCTGTTTACCCGCAATGCTGATCCTACTTGTTCCTCCTACTGTAGTATACAGGTATTAGTGGAAATGAGTCCTAGCAGTTGAATAATCTAGCATCAGCATTCTCTTTTTAATAGCTGCGATAGTTATGGTCAAATGGGACGGCTAGCCTCGAAAATCTATTTATAAAGGTCACAATATATTCCTCCCCAACCTGTATGTTAATTATTCATGGATAAGTATAGAATTCCAACTCTAACACACGAATAGTTTGATTGTTTTGATCTATCAATTGAGGAGAAGCTTCTGTTCGCTTACAAGTTTAATGCTCGAATCATTACTAGAAAAGTCTTGTAGTTACAACCCTATTGGAATGCAAACCGGGGCTGCCGAAAACTCTGGAAATAACTCACGTTTATTCGCCTGAGACTATGGAGTCATGCCCTTCTTGTTACGAAGAAAGTTCTCAACGGCTTTATCGTGAAGTCACAATTTCATGTCAAAACAACTACTAGCCCCCTTCTCTGATGCTCTTGGCGTGGAAGGCGATGAACGTGATGAGAACGCACACGGTCAGTTCTCCTTAGAGCCGACACAACCAAAGCCGTCGCATAGGTTCGGGGTAGCAGTGCATGGAATTCTGACTGACCTAGAAATGGGAAGGCGAACTTTGCGCGAATAATGGAAGAAGTTATATCATAACTAGAGGGTACGGATAACAGAATTGACATGGCTCCGCAACAGGACAAATAACATTGACGCCCACGGCTCGCTGGGAATCTAGTTTGACTCAGCAGAGGCGGTGGACTGGATAACTGCTCGCTTACTTCAGAACTAGGAGTCTCCCGTATCCTATGAATTACACATTCTAGGATGACATTAACAGGGAAGATATGAATGATGCATTTTTATATGAAGTGGAGGACAGACAAGAAGATAGACAAGGTGGTCATTAATTATATTCTTTTTATCTGTTTCTTTTTGCATCAAGGAGAAAAAGAGAGTCTTTGCTACATGACAATCAAGGAAAATTAAAACGAGTGATTTAGAACCAGCCATGCACTCTATCTTGTTTCTCTCTTTCATTATTTACCCCGGTCACATTTCGGAGAGAAACTCCTGGGCTGCAGCATGGAGGTCCTTCGCAGCGTCGGCATTAGACGTCTGGTCGAGGGTAGAGACGTCAGCTTCTTGTTCAAGGAGATAGCTTAACGAGGGATGAGATAAAAGTTAAAGTTGCTTAACATACCCTGAGTAAGAGAGGCACTGTTCGTCCGTCCTCAATTCCAGATATCTGTACATGTTTTCCCGTCGGCTCCTTACCCTCTGGGTCCCCTACTTTCATCCCTTTATATAGCGGAATGTTGAGGATGAGTCGGAATACACCATCCGTACGCATGATAAACCGGGCAGATCTTCTCGACGGCTTGGTAGCAGCAGCTCCGCCTTCTTCCTCATCTCCGGCGGCAGCTTCGGTTGATTTCTTTGCGTTGAGCTTGAAAGTGCCCACGCCACGCTCTTTCCATTCACTGCCAGTAAAGTGGAAAAGCTTGCCTCGGACAGTAAGATGGGTCTCTTCACCTTCTTCTCCAGTCTCGGCTGTAGATTAAAAAAAGGGTTGTTAGCAGGTGGCTACGGGAAATACCTCTTCGTATGGGAGAGTGACTTACTCTCTTGTTTAAAGAACCGGGTATCTTCCTTCTCTTCTTCGAGGCCTTGGAAAGTTTCTCCCTTCTCCTCAGTAGCCTCATCATCATCTTCCGCTTCATCGTCATCATCTTCCTTATTTTCTGCTTTTGAGCCAAATGCTTTTGGCTTAGAAGCCGTAGATCCGAAATTTGTTGGCTTAGGAGATGCAAAGCTAGTCAGCCTCTCACCGGGCTTTGGTGCTGCCGCAGCAAACCCGCTTGCGAATGAACTCTTTGCAAAGGCACTTCCACTAAAGGACGCGCCAAAAGGCGAAGGGCCCGAGGTTACTGCAAACGGGGATGCCCCGGACCCAATGGAGCTAGATTTGCCATCGCCTTCACCTTTGCTGCTAGGCTTACTCTTAAAGATGGACGAGCCGCCTCCAATTGTACCAAAGGGAGAGGTTTCCGACCCTGAAAATGCAGCTAACGTCGAGGCTGCAAAGGCAGAGGGATTGGTACTCTGTTCCTTGGTTGACTGGTCGCCTGTGTTTGTAGGGCTCTGCCTCGAGGCATTGAGTGTTCCGAATGGAGAAGTTGCGGAAGTGTTGGTGAAAGGATTCGGGAGTGTGGACTATAAGATTGAAATGTAAGGATTTGCATAGAACGTTACTTAACAGCCATCCATCTCGAGACATACCTTTGAAGCAGCAGTCGCGTTCTTTGGCTCCTCGGTATGTCGATCCTGCGAATTATCACGATGACGCTTTTTCTCTGGTTCGCCCTTGTCCGCACGGTTGTTAGGTGAAGCTCCTAAGCTTTCCAAATCGGCATTATCTTTGGAAGGATCGGCGGCAGCATCATCCTTTTCTTTCACATTTTCTTCCTCTGCCTTTGAATCCAGGTCCTTGTCGAATTGGTCTCTGCTTCGTTTCTTCTTTGGGCTCTTTACCTTTTCCAGCCCAGCAGTATCTGCTTGTGGCTCCGCTTCCCGTTCAGGTGTAGTTTCCATCTTCGAATCTCTAGAACGCTTTCTTCTATGGCCACTTTCATCGTAGTGACCTGGCTGTCCGTCCTCGTTCATCAGGTCGTCAAGGGATCGCTTCTTCTTCAATCGTCCACGCTCGCTTGTGTTGGTATCGGTCTTGTTGTCCTTTAGCGGCTCGCCGTTCTCCTCGCCCATATTCGAGTATTCGGATTCTTGGTCCGGGTTTGTAGTTCCTGTTCCGGCAATAGAAGTCTCCTTTAGCTTCTGGCGGACAGGCCGTTCACCGCCGCCGTCTTTATGGGAGTCAGAACACACTTTCTCGCGGGTGAATTCTGTAGATCGCTCGGAGGGATCACTAGGTAGAGCGGAACTCCTCGTACCTTCAGAGTAATCGCCCGTGTCAGGGTCGACTTTTTCTTTTGATTGATGTTGTGGTGATTGTTCGGCTGTGTTGTCTATTGAAAAGTAGGCGTCAATAACTACCTATACAGCAAGCTTCAAAACTCTAGGACACAACACCAGAGCAGTAATTGCTACAGTAACAGACTCCTCCTGTCATTTATGCAATGGCTCCAACTGCTGGTCGGTCGCCTGAGGCGCCGGCCTTGCACTCCCACGAACTGAAGGAGAAAAGGGGGCTGATGGGGGCGGAAAAGTAGTATGGCAGATGCAGACCTTCTAGAACACCATTCTTCTGTCGCAAGCTATCAGGAGATGCCATGTCAACTGCCGGATCTTCTTGCACCGTACTCAGGATCTCCTTCGAGGCCGATCTGCCCGGCGTTCGATCTGTGGTTGATCAGGGCTTCGGTCGGGTTGTTGGGTAGTTAGTTAGCGGGGGGATCCAGGGACCAGCGAAAAAGGCCTCCGAGGCCAGCTTGTGCGGTCAGGCGAAAGAAAACGAGAAGCAGGCTACTTCCGAGCAGAAGCAGTCTGCCGCAGACAGCTTAAACGAGTGCGCTCGACGGCGAAGATGCGAGTTTTGCCAGCAAATGGCTTAGGACGAGGAAGAAAAAAGAGCGAGGCAGGTTGTTGGTTGTTGGTTGTTGCTGCTAAGAACTGCGACGTTTAATTTTATTACTGGGGATTTTCTTCTTTCACTGCTTCACTAGTGGAGACAGCACATCAACTCATGCTGAGGCCGAGAGAAAGGGGGAATAGAAGGGAGAAGAAGAAGAAAAGAGAGAGGACAGAAGCGGTCCTTGGATGGCGATGATATTCGCAAGACGGCCTCCCGCTGGCTTTCTTTTGCCAGGCTTCCGCCTGGCTTGAACCAGAGCGGCTGCGGCAGTCGAGGCCACAGAAACAGCCCCAAGGCAGACACAGCGAGACGACGATACGGACCATGGAGACGAGACGAGAGATCGATCAATGGCCTTTGGAATGTCTTCTTGTACAGATATAAAGAATAGGTACATTACGGGATTATCTCGGTGGCCGTCCAACGGGCTTCAGCCTCGACCAATATCAACAGCATCACTGCTGCTACCATAAACCAGCCATGCAATGTCATGCCATCAGTCCTCCAGCAGCCCCAGAGCCGCGTCTGCAATTACTTTCCCTTCTGACGTTGCTGCAAAGCTCAGGATACCCCCCTTGGACCGGAAGTTCACCTCTATCGTGTAGTTGAAGCGGTGGTACGTCTGCCCGTCCGAGGTGCTCTTGCGTGTCTGGAAGTCGTTGAATGTGGACGTCGAAAAGGCTGGGGATATCTCCCCTACTTTAACGACACGGTGGTGGTCTTCCCTCTCCGGCGCCTCGTCCATGTTGCAGGAGAACATAGTGATGTTCTCATTCAACGGCTGGCCGAGCTTGAACGTACTCTGGATGTCGGCCTTCATCTTGAAGTTTTCGTCCAGTCGTTTCCCCTTCACGACCAGGAGTCAGCCTTTCTTTCTTGCTCGGAATAAGATCCGTTTTTGCTTGCTTACCTTGGGGATAACCCATTCCATTCTTCCGCTACACATCTTTTCACCAGTGAGTGGATCAGTGTACGAATTTGCTTCGGGGTCGATGCCTTTCCTGAACCGTTTTCCCCAGGACCAGCCATAGTGTGCTCTACTATGAGTGATGATAGGCTTCAGCCCTTCTAGACCACGCAGACAGGCACCCTTGACAATGGCAGCCTGACTATTGGCTGTTAGCTATTGTGTATGACGGGAAAATTCATCACTCATGGCCACTTACCAGTCTGGCGGGCATGTTACAGAGCCGATATTTTTTCCTTTGCACCATTCGCCTAGCTTGGTGTTGAGATAATCCGAATCCCCAAACCCTCCAACAAGTATCAGTCGCTATAAGCCGTTAGCTACTGCTTTTTTGAAGGGGCTGCGCTAGGTAAGGGAACTCACGTCGATTCTCTTTTTCTTCTTCTCAGTAGCCTTTACCTGTGACTTTACCAGAGATATGACTTCCTTTACGACGGGATCAAAGAGCCGCTGCATATCGTACTTGGAAAGCTTTACCACCAGTTCCTCATCGTCATAGTGGACGCTTGGTCCGATATCCATCCGGATAGGTCCAACTTCCACTCCTCGATCATCGTTGGGACCTCCGAAATTCCGCTTCGCACTCTCAAAGGAATTCATAAATCTACTACCTGGCCCTCGTAATCTCATCGGCACTGAGGTATATTCTTCTCCAAACGTCTCTTGCATCCACTGGTTGAAATTCCGATCGATGTACGTTGACCCGCATTTTCCTCCTGGATTGAGTAGGGCGATTTGATTAGCAACAAAAAAGTCAGCTTCCACCGAAGACAGGAGGAAATACCTATGCCAACACAGAGCTCTTCAAACTCCAACCTTGGTTCTGATTTTAGAACTATATAGGTTGTGATGTCAACCGTTCCACCTCCACAGTCACATATTAGAATACCCTCGCCTGGCTAAGGCCTGAGTTAGCTAATACATAAGCCACCATGAGATAAAAGATTGCATACCTGAACTGGGTCAATTGCGTCGGGCCCCAGGTGCGGTTTTATTGCCGAAAGTGCTGCAGCTTCGGGCTCCTTGATCATGAAGATAGAGTCGTATGGCCGTGACCCGAACCCTGCGGCTTCTGCAGCTTTCCGAGTGGCTAGCTGGGCTTGGTCGGACCAAATCGCAGGCATGGTCAAATATATCTCCATTGGGGTGGCATTGAAAACACCGGCTCCCATCTTTTTCTCCAGCTGGTGAATAAGGTAGACATACAACTCCCGGAAGTAATCTTCGATCACGCATTGTGCACTTTTTCCCTTTGGCAGGCTCATCAGGCCTGACCCAAATAGATCCTTCAACGATGGATCATCATAGCCGGTCAGCTGTGCGCTCTTGTCCAGCAACAGCTTGGTCCAGGAGTAACACATCAAGTTTGGAGAAACCTGGAATCCCCATTGATCTGCGGGTATCTTGTTTTTATTCTCTTGTGCATAGGCTATTCTCGATGGGACCTTCCATGTTGAATCCCGATGCCCTGGCCAAGTGTTGATGACATTGATATCTTCCAACCTGGTCTTTGTGGACTCTGCCCAACTGACACCTATATAGCAAACTTGTTAGATACTTTGTCCCCCAGCATGCTACTGCTTGGGATTTTCAAACCTGAAAATGTGGTTCCATAGTCTACTCCCACAATGATCTTGTGGCGAGAGCCTGTGTCTAGGGCATCGTTATCTTTCATTGGGCAGGATATCTTCCACCGAGCCTCAAGTCAACGGTGTAGGCGCGGGTATATAGGTGTCCAACAAATGCAGATTTTGAAGATTGTAATATATATCTTAATATATCTCAGCGGCTCAGGATAGCTTGTTTGGTCTCGTCTGCTCATTTCTTTACACAGGAAAAGAAGGGGGTTTAAAACCTTGGTTGGCCACTACACACAGACAGGGGGCCAAACACAGCCTTCTAGCTACTCCCAGGCCTATCTCTCGTCTAGGAATCCGCAAGGCCGAGGGGCAGCTGACAAGGCTGTGATAACGGGCTTGGGCGCCTTGCATCATGCAGCTGCTGCACGAACATCTTGACAACCGACTTCGTTAAGATCCCGCCAATCACAGCCACGGCAAGAGCGAAACGAGACCGCAGCACAGCAAAAATCGATAAAAGCAACCATGCAGACTACACTCGAAAGACGGTGCAAATGGGCCCGAAAAGATAACTATCGCTGTGATTTGGCCCTCCATTTTTTGCCAATGGTCATGCAGCCGTCTTGCGGGGAAGCAAGGCGCGCTGTCAAGTCTGCACAGCCAGCCTTGTCCAAAGAGCTTGATATATCTATCACACTCGAAAGCGCAAACCACCTCTGCAGGAGATTTCCTGGTCCTCTCCAAACTTAGTTGGCCGGCTGGCTGTGGCGGGGGACAGTGAACGAAAGGTCTATTAATACTTGTTGACCAATATCTCCTTATCTCGGTTTGCGCTGCCTGCCCTTTGGTGAATACACTTCGTTTTTTCAATGTTTTACTGGTACGGTGATGGGTAAGTCTTCACGTCGGAACTCCAGATCCTCGAGGCATCGGTATTCAACTACTTATGAATTTGAACTAAGGCTTGGATACCCTATGAGTTACAGAGAGGTTAACATCGTCCCTTGTGCTATTGATTTTTGGTTCATAGTTTTCTTTCCGACACTCGTAATAATGCTTGATGCTTGATGCTGGATGCTTCAAATGCTAATGGTTCTGTATAGCGCATGGCTGCAAAATCATCAAAAGAACCAGGCATGACTGAACCCCAAGCAGGCCGGCCAGGGTCCTCGGGGGGTAGACTCAATGACCCAACAATAGTAGAGATAAAACCTCGCCAGCAGGAGAATGGCAAAGTGCAACCTGAGCCCGAACCTGCTCCGAAACCTCCCCCAAAGGCCGATGACCAGCCGCACAATGGGGAGCCAACGGACCCAGATAGACGCGGAGGTGTTCCAACCGATAGGCCGCAACCACACGGAATCCCAGATGGACACCCTTATGACCGTGGCATTAGAGTCACCCACGTTTGCTGCGAGGCCGAGCCCTCCTCGATGGGGGGCGCGTGGTTTTCGTCTCGACGCTCGAACAAGTCTCGCGAGCAGGCGATGGAACAGGAGATTCATCAATTACGGTCAGAAATTGGACGCCAGCGCCAAGTCATTACGGAGCTTCAGGAAGGAAACGCATTCACAAAAGATGAAAACTTCCATCTCCGTGGGAAAATACGTGAGCTCAATGGTTTAATCCGCCGCACGCAGGAGAGGGCATTTGGAGAAATCGGCCAGGGAAAATGGGCTTCCCAGCCTGACAGAGATATCCGGGATGACCTCGCTTTATTCCAACGCCAACTCCGGGACTGGAGTAAGGAGTATGCTTTGGACTCCATAAGCACCCTGCAAGCATTGAAAATGAGTGAGGAAGAAAAGGACGAGTTTCTATGCAATTTAAGCAAGGTGGTGACGCTTAGTGAGAATGGAAGTATCCCGGCAACGCTACGAACCGGGAAAATGGAACGCAGACTACCTTCGATCCTGGTAAACGCCCTGATAGCTCATGATGTCTACACTCAGATCTTCGATGATCCCTTCTATTTCCTTGGCCAGAGCACTGGTTTGGATGACCAAGATTGTTCAGTTGACGGAACTCCTCTTGTGAATGAGACCCTAAACAGGATCTATGGAGAGCTGATAAATCGTAAGGAATCCCACTTCCTCTCCCAATTCTCTGTAAAGCTGCTAATATTGTATCCCAATAGTCGATGAACGAGAAGCTCATATCTGGCGTTCGCAGTTACTTCGAGTATACAATCCGCCAGAAGGAGGTGTTCTTAGTGAGAAAGAAAAGCTAGCAGCCAAAAGATGCATTCCCGGGTCCAACGGTGCAGTGATTACTTTGCAACATCTTCATACGGGACAGCAAAATACCTCTTTCGGAAGATCCCCAGTGATCAGGAAACAACTCGTCTTAATAAACTACGAGACATCTTCACAGATGCTGGTGAGCTGTCATCCAGACTTTGGACGCAACGGACATATATGAAGAGTCAGAACCTTCCGTCTTTGAAGCTGGAACAGTTCAAAGTTTCTTCCCAGTCAATGGAGGCCCATCCTTCTCAGGGGCTGGACGATGATGAGATAGTAAGCTAAGATGCTCGAGGGTAGAGTCGTATACACCCTGCCCTTCTCGCCTTTGGCAACGATGACTGTGAAAACTACCATATTGCCCGTGTCTGGGCCAAAGCCGTGGTTCTGCTGAGGGCTACAAGATGATATATCGCTCATATATTCGTGTATTATGTGTCTTCTTAGCTACTCCTCATTTTCGCACTTTTGTTATGGCTGGCTACCTTGTTTTTGCTCTCCTCTGAACTCGTATCTATAGCGCCCATACTATAGGCAACCCCTAGTTAACTAATTAAGCATTTGCTAGCTCATTTAAGGGGTCGGATAACTCATTAACCAGTCAAAGGGAACCTTTCAGAGCCCCTTAACGAACGCTAAATCCCATTCCTTTCTCAGCTTTCTCTTGCACTGCAGCTGCCTGCCCGCGCCTCGCTGCAAATCAAAGCCAGGGCGTAGCTAAGAAGTACACACCGACGACATCTCTCATGCATATGACCCTCAGGCCGGGCGAAGTCGACCCCTCACGCCCTCGCTTCGTCTCGCTTCATATTAACCGAATCAGCACCGTGCGGGTTAGTTCAGGCCTACTCGGTACCGCAAAAACGAATGAATATGGTTGATAGACACAGCACAGCAAGCTCACAGCCTCGCGAGGGGAGATCTCTTATCTTAGCCTCGCTGCAGCCAAGGCAGGCTGTCTGCACTGTTCGTATGACGCATGGGCAAAGGCAAAGGTAGGCTTGTCAGGTAGGCTTATGATTGCTGATATATAGAAAATAAGTCAGTCATCTTTCCCGGTCAGGGGAATTTGGCAGCGGAACCGGGCAATATCGATCTTGTTGCTTGCCTATGCAAAGAGTATCAAAAACCACATACATGTCCATACCACCAGCCATGAAGGAACGCCAGAAGGTCTTTATCGCAGTGATGGGGGTGACTGGCTCAGGGAAGAGCACCTTTATACAGACAGCTACCGATTCTGATGAAGTCCATATTGGCCATACGTTCAAGTCTTGTAAGCTTCCAGTTGAAACAGCGATCAATCATCTGGCTACTGGCCATTGCTAACAGGCGTTCTAATGCCAATCTTTAGGCACTGCAGCTGTCTCTGCTCATACGCTGTCTATGGATGAGTACGATGTTACGTTGATCGACACCCCTGGGTTCAACGACACATTTCGCAGTGAGACGGAAGTTCTAAAGGAGATTGCCAACTGGCTTGATTATACATACCGCAATCCTCCGCATGTTATGCTCACAGGCATAATCTACATGCAGTCAATCACTGACCGCCGCATGTATGGCTCTACTCTGCGGAATTTGAAGATGTTCCGACAGCTTTGTGGTGAAAGCCCTCTACGCAATGTCGTTTTCACCACCACCGGCTGGGGTACTGCAGAAAAGTCAGGAGAGCTTTCCAAGGCTCTTGAAAACCAGGAGTCCCTCCGTTCAGACCCTGACTTTTGGGAGCCAATGATCAGAAGAGGATCAACTATGGCTAAGTTTGAAGACACAAGATCTTCTGCTCTGGCTATCATCATGAGCATTGTTGAGCGCAACCCCATACTCCTCAAAATCCAGGAAGAATTGGTAGACGAGAATAAGAACCTCATTGACACTGCTGCTGGCCATACGGTTAACGAAGAAATGAAGAGACTCGAGGAGAAATACACGCAGGACATTGCCAAAGTTCAAAAGGACATGGAAGAAGCACTTGCTGCTCGTGACACTGAATACCATGCGGCCCTCCAAGAGGCAAAAGAGAACTATGAACGTCTTCGAGATGAAGCCCAACGGGCCCGGGACTCTCTACAATATGAACGACGTAATGAAAAACGACGTCTCACAAATGAGATTGAGGGGATGAAACGACAACTTGAACGGGATAAGAAAAAGCACGAGGAGTATTTGGAGCTTAAGTTCAAAGCCCAACAGATTAACGATGATATGAAATATGAAGAGATTGTGAACAAGCTCCGCGCAAACGGCCATCTTCTCCGAGACGAGGAACGGCAAGTCTTGGAGATGAAGATCCAAGAACTTGAGGCGGCATCCGCCTATGGGGGAGCTTCTGTTAATGGCAAAAAGAAAAAAGGTAAGGGAACCAAACTCCTGGTGGGACTAGCACAGGTCTTGGGAAGTGTCACCATGGGGCTACTAGGGTTCCCCATGTTGTTTGGAGATCCGATTGGGACCCTTGCTTCGATATTCTAATTGCTATCTTTACCACTTTTACTCTTGGGGTTCTAACTATCATTCTAACTTGTACAAAGTAATATACTAGGAACAGAATAAGGATAGCAAAGTGTCTTTAAACTGCCGATGGTGGAGGGGCAATGATCTGCTGTAGCCTAATACTTTTATAATTACACTCTTCCCACCTACAATTGAGCATTTTAGTTAGTAATGCATTCGCATACTCTGTTAAAGGGACCATTACTTATATGGAAGATCTGAGATAATATTTCACAACTATTATATACAAGAGCGGCGATATATGCATTGAGGGGATCTGTGCTCGTCATGCAACGAATATTAAAGGTATGCCGGAAAGGCATACTTAAGTAAGTGGTCTATAATCGAAGAGAACAGTAATAGAGCCAAGGTCCGGCCCAGGCAAAGAGTATATATGCAGTAAGAATGCAACTGGTCGTTCGTCAGTCCGTTGATTAAACGCCCGAATCGTCCTGGAAGTGAGCATTTGGATCCCAATAGTTGCTTTTATCGGAGTGCCATGCATCCCATCTTTGGCAGTTTTCTTTCATAAACTCAAAATCGGGGTTATTCAATGTCAAGGCCTTCAAGTCCTCTTTGCGTTCGAGTACCTGGAGAGCCAGCCCGGCGGACACATGCCATGCGATGTGGCAATGTAGTAGCCATGAACCTGGATTGTCCGGTTTAAAAGCAATGACGATAAATCCGCCAGCAGGTAGAAGAGTAACATCTCGGCGTGGAGGGTTGTTCAGTTTGAGATTGACATTTGTAGGATCCCAAGGCTCCGTAGATTGCTGTAGAAGCACAAAGTCATGGCCATGGAGGTGGATCTACATCACAAGTGTTAGCCATAAAGGTAGGGAACATGGTGATCGCCTAGTGTCTTACCGGATGGGCAACAGCAACTTGGGTGCTAATGGGGTCTAATTTCTTCCCTGTAATAACAAGGTAAACCCATTTATTTATGAGATGGTCTTCTGCCGGGTATACTACCCACGTTGAAGGGAACTCCTCCTTATCAAGGTTCTTGATAATAGGCTCGGAGTAGTTAATCCACATTGGGACGGGACCAAACTCCCAGTTAGAGACGAGGCTATTTGTTTCAGGGTATCCAGGCCTTCGCCATTTACCAAGTTGTACATCGGCAGATTTCTCGAAGGCACCAGCCACGTCAAGGCCTGGGTCAGGGACAGTCCATTTCACTTTGGGTACCAAGTTTTCCAGTGGTTCATCACGGCAGTCCAAGGAGAAAGCTCCACGCTCAGTGTTTGGGGAAATACCATCGTCCCTGTCGTAGTAAATAACGCCTGTTCTGTCGTCGGTACCTCTTCCCTCAGCGAACTTTGAACATCCCTTTGTCGGGGTCGTTCTCATCCAATATCTTCCGTTTTTCTTGGCCTCTTCTTTGGAGAGACCTTCCAAAATAATGTGGTAACGTTGGCCTATACGGAAATACTTAGCCATGTTGATATCTGTGTGTATATAAAATGAAAGGTCACCTACCAATTCCAACCGCAATATGATCAGCTTCATAAGGCTCAATTGGAACGAAGTCTGACCCAACAACTTGGAATTTGTGGCCATCGATAGAAAAGACGAACGTTGTGGCAACAGACGTATTGATCAATCTTAGAAGGTACTTTTTGCCCTTTTCAAAGTGTTAGCGTGTTCCAATTATTGCAATTTGAAGAATTGGCACAAACAGGTTTGAGAACGGTACGATATTTTTTCTCCAAATCACCAGTTTGATCGTAATCACCTATTTAACTATTAGCAATCGGTAAACTTCACATTGGAGCCAATATTCTTGGTGAAATTTACCCTTTCCGTTTAAAATTATGCTATCCATTGCTGGTGGCTTTCCTTCCAGCTCCTTGTGAAAGTCCTCAAATGCGCTGTCATGAAGATGGTCTGTCATCAATAGTGGATCAACAGCTTTATCATAACTCGCTGACGAGGGCCCATGGATTGTCATTGGCCCGAACAGACCATCCGCGTATTGTAGAGAATAATGGCTATGATACCAGGTGGACCCGTACTGGCTAGCCTTGAATCTGTAAGTCATTGAGGAGCCTGGTGGGATGGGGCATTGAGTCACTCCAGGTACACCATCGTTAAACATGTTTTCCATCATCCGAATTCCATGCCAGTGAACAGCGGTTCCGTTATGTTTCAACTTATTGGTGACAGTAATTTCTGATGCCCACTGTTAGCAAGGCTGATAGTTAGCCGTGTTTAACATGAGGCTGGCCTTACCAAGATCATCCCCCCAACATGCCTCTAGACTAATTGTCAGTATAGTACCAAAAGCAGACAGTATTTCAATATCTCATTGAATCACTCACGAATCCATGGTCCTGGATATTGCTTATTGAACACCTTAGCTTTATCAAAAACCATTCCGTCCATGTTCACCGACTCGTCCGTTACTTCTAAGTGGTACTAAATCATAACATTTTAGCTTTCCTTTTTCCATTTTCCTTTGGAGTAGCCGTTGCAACTTACCTTCCGTGTAATTCCTTGAGGGACATATTTATCATTGTCTGTGTCAATGTTATATTCAGTGATATCCCCCGGGTTCGATCCAGCATATCTTAGCCAGTCACCATTCTTCTTATAGGAGTAAACCCAACCCTTCATGGATGGGTATTCGCATCGAATGAGACGAGTATTGAGATCGGTGCTAGGAAGAGGATTGAACATTGGGAAATCATCCCTGGGGACATTTCTTGAAGGGGCCCCATGAGGTTCAGGCCATGCCAGTGCACTTCCAATGTAGAGAGTAGCCAAGCCAATCTGTTTTAGAGAGGGAATGGGTATTGAACTGAGAGAATTCATTGTCAGACTTAAAGAAGGAAGTCAAGCACGTTCACAAAATGCTGCTCCTTCTTTAATGACATTGGAAGAAGCCAAAAAGACAAAAGGACAACTGTGGGTGATCCCCGTTATATATCGATCTCTTAGATGGGGCCTCAAGGAGGAAGGTATTTAAAACATTCCACGGGACTGCGGATCCTATTATTAGACAAGACCATACTGATACCAAGTAGCAGGGAAGTCAGAGGCTAATGTGCATCCGCGGAGCTATGGTGATCCCACGGACAGCCACGTTTTCCGCCCCATTACCCAGATCTGTATACGGAATAGAAACGAGTCAGAAACATTTTGGCTGCCTGTCTCAAGCAAAAGGAATATTTGACCGAACGGGATCCAAGCAGAAGGGTGGAGCTTCATGCATGGTACACAGTAGAGAAGAGTTGTTGTCCTAAAGCAAGCTACTTTCTCAATCACTAGGGCGGCAAATCTTATCGTAGTCCAGCGTATTGCTGAGAAAAGAGACCTGGTGGAACCAGAATTATTTCACAAAGTAAAGCTGAAGAGACAATGGAGAAGCCTGACGGATGCATTGGGGTTTGCCCCCAAAAAAAAAAAAAAAAAAGAAAAGGAAGCCCTCAAACCTGGGCCCGCATAAGTGTCCATGGGAGGAAGATGCCTCTCAAATGACTCTTATGCTCCAGGTAAGCAGCCATGGTGGCCAAGCTCCCGTACTCTGCAGACTTCTGCGATCATAACACTTCCTTTGGTGTGATCCAAGGGGGGGTATGCCATGGCACAATACGAGCGGACATTATCACTCCTTGGTATGTACGGAGTAGTCAACGCCGTGTTTCTGTTTTGACATCCCCGAGATGTCAACCATCATGCTGCAGCCAGAAAGGCTGAAATGCAGGTTGTGCCAATAAACATGGGCTAGGCATCCTTGTTTTCCGTCTGCCTGGCTCTCAGCCGCCAATCGTAGCTCTTTAGTGTGGATGAAAATCGAGACCTTGTAACGGAGGTTAAAGCTGCCGCCGTCTTGTTTCCGGACGCTCTCCCAGTGGGCCCGGACTCTCCCTGTTGCTTGCCATGCATCATACGCATGAGGATCTCGGTTTAAGCGACGTTTCCCCTTGGCTCGATAACTGTCCGGCTTGGTCCTTTTGCTGCAGAAACCGTGAAGAAACAAGTTGAGGTCAAAGTCGCCGACAAGCCGATAAGATTATGTAATCGGCTCCTTTTCCTCAAAACTAACAAAACATCAACAACAACATCAACAACCAACGACAGCAAATAACACCTAACGATGGGCAACATCCAGCCTCGTCGTGGCCATGTATACGCCCACGGACTTGAGTGCCTGGCTACTGCTGGTTGGAAGTAGCATCTTTTTGCGTGGGACTCCCTGTCTCAGGTGAAAACCTTTTCTGCGCCTTCAAGCTTTGTGGTTGCTCTGTACTGACCCCCTATAGGCCAACGCACTCCTGGCCAGCAAAGTCGGCCTGCAGAGCGATGAGCGAAGCAAAACATCGTGGCGTTAGTTACTTTAGCTGTTATATTAAATGACTGCTAATATCTTCGGAGTAATATGGCATCTTCGCGGCTTGATCGAGCATTGCATTTCACTCTTAAGAAGATGTTGGTTGAAGCTGCAGTCTATACCACATGGCGCAGTCCTTCAGCCTCTTCCTACTGCATATATGTATGTTGAATGTTGGTATACGCAGCATCTAACATTACAGAAATTCGCTGGCAGTTGAGCTGCATCCGAAGCCATCTCTGTCCTACCGCAGGATCGTTGCCGCAGATCCCGTACGCCACTAACTATGCAAATTACGGACCAATCGAGACAATCTGGCTGTACTCTTAAATAACGAGCGTGTTTCAACAGCCTTCACATCCGAATTCGCCGGATTGCTCGCATGCCCTTGTTTATGTTTTAACCCTTCCAGTTCCACACTACGTTTTGTGCTATGATCCCCCAGGAATTAGTCCCCTATCAAGTTGTCGGAATACCCTTGTTTCCTAGCTTAGCGGGTACCGCCATAAATATAGCTCTCTCACTAGTTACAGCTCTCTCTGCGGCTTTATCGTTGTAGCTGCCTTCATATACGAAATACCAGAAGCAGATATTCAGAGTAACTTTTTGGCCAGACAACACAGCAGTACGGAGTACTCAGCAAAGTAAGGTAACTAGCGTGGAACAGGGGTACCTGGGCTATTCTTTCGTTCTTTTTTTTCTTGTCTGTAAGAGCATCCGAGCATTTTAGCGCATCTAAACAATATTCCCAGACAGTTGCATCGTGGAGCAACTTGGATGCAACTGTACGTAGTACCTTCACTGCAGCTTGACATAAATAGCTACTCAACCTTTTCGTCTAGTTTGCTACCCGAGAGACATCCCTGAGCTACGTGGTTACCCAGTCCGTGCGGAATACTGGAGGATTAATAGATTGATAAATACTCCATAGATGAGCCGGGCTCCCGTAAATTCCCGTAAGCTGTTGACTCCGACTGTTCAGCCTGCTCCTGACGGGAGTGGCGAAGAGAGTCGACCTCGATTGCTGCCCCGTACAACTAAGCATTCCGGTGAAACTATGCAGATAATATATGCTGTCACACCTTTCCCACTTCATTGCACAAAAAATATGACGTAAAGTGAAGAATGGAGAAGGACATGTGCATATTGGCTACGGCTTGTGACGCTGGCTTCTTGAAGATTAAATCAGTTCAAGCTAGAGGAAATAACCAAATCTAATGCCCGGCTAGCCCGTCTAACTAGGGTCGGAATGTAAAATGTAGCTGAAGGATATGCCCCATAGCGCTAGCGATTGCTTAACCACAAAGAACCGTGTGCTCCGTAGATAATAATGTATTCATTACGTAGCAGAAAGAGGACAAGGTATATGACGTATAGTACAGCTCAGTCGAAATGTGGAGAACAAAGATGGAAATTAAACGAGAACAAAGGGCGAAAGCAGTCCCGGTCATTATATCTGTGGCAGTTTCGAGGCAAGCTGAGATCCTGATCTCTTCGAGAACGCCTCCTCAACCAAGTGTCACAGCATACACGGTGTATACAAAATCTTACCTGCTTTGATACCCTCATTAACTGATAAAGCATAAGCAGCCGATTCCCATGTAAAATACTAATAGCGGGTAGACGGCAAGGACCACCCGGTTCTTGACTACCCCCGAGCCACCCAAAATGCTTACTCCCGCTGCGAGGGACCAGGCCACTAGAACGAGGTAAACGGGAATGCGGGCTATAGTAGGAATATTAAGAGCGCTCAGTAGCGCAGCAATAACCAGCGGGAAGAGCGTATAGCCGATGAGACACACGGATTGAAAGAATGAACTAAAAGCTCGGTGTTAGTCGGGCGTGTCGGCGTTAATCGGATAGTAGACAGTAGACAGTGCAGCTCAGCATGATGCAAGTGGAAGGAGGAAAAATGAAACGAAACTTACATGTTCCCGCCGAGCAGCTTGATCTGCAGAGTGACAACGGCTTCACCAATCCACACGATGCAAAACACCCCCGAAAAGACAAGACTTGACTGCTCACCCTTGCCCATTGAAAGGAACATACTTAGCAAAAGGCAGAAAATCAATGGCCCCCTAACGGAACACCGCACGTCAGTTGAAGGTAACATGGAAGCCATATCAAGTCCAAGGAGACATACCAAAGATCCCAGTTTCTAAGTCCTTCACTCATTCCCCCCTGTAAAACAACATCTGCATCCGGTAATCTGCCCACGAGTCCGCGGAGGGCCCCTAGGCTCTCACTGCCAAAGCCTGTTGCCTCACCTCGTTCCGCGGATCCTCCACTACCCCCTCCTCCACGCATCATCATGCCACCTAGTAAATATTGTGGCCAAAGGACTTGTCTCATCTTCTCCCATACTGCTAGGAGATCTCTCGAGAGAGTATCCCAGACAGACTCGTCAATTGTATTCTGTGGTGCGCGGCGGTCCTCTCCGGGTATGGATGATGTGAGGTATGAGCTGGATACGGGGTTTCGCGAGGCTCCTCCGGAAGCTGAAGACGAAATGTTTCCAGTTAATGGCGTACGGTCAGTCGTCGAACCGAGCGGGTCATCAGCTTCAATAGCTATAAGATAGCTGTTAGAACTAATATATATCAAGAGTTGACTTTGGATAAGCATTTACCATCATCAACCAATTCATGGTCCAAGACTGAGTCCTCGTCATGCTCTATGATAAACGGACTATCTGTCCTAGGTCCTCCGCTGCCGCTGGCCATCTTTGTTAAGGCAAGGTGGTTAAAATCGGTATACAAAACAATTGGCTAGCAATCTTATATCGTAGGCGTCGATGGTAGGTTGGATATGTTTCGGAGAACAGGTAAGCTGTTGACGTGGCTCTTAGGCAGCTTCGTTTTGCGATCTTTCTCAGCAAGCGGTCTCAGGGGCCGTTAGAAACCTACCGCCTATCTATCCAAGCTCCCCACTCAAGGGACCTGGTCAACAAAGTGTAGAATCAATAAGCAGTAAGTTACTGTTGCCTGCGCTTGAGCTGCGGCCAGCTTTGTTCTTCCAGCTCGCGACTTGGTCGTGAGGTCGAAATAAACGGTCACGTGATAGTTGTTCCGAAACCTAGATGGAAGTTGATATCACTGATATTGATTTGATATTGATTTGATACCCAGTTGAGATCCATCAGTACAAGGAGTATTTAGTGATGAGGCACGTTCTAAAATAAAGGATTTATCCTAAGCACTAACAAGTTGATCAATTTGAAATATTAAACAGAATATAATAACCACACCTAAGAAGGAAAGGGGAAAACAGCAAAGTAATCAGTTAGCAAAAAACAATGAGAAGCTCGATATCCAATCTCGAATGCCTCTCGCCTTCAGCTGGCAGTAATAATAGCAGAGTTAAAGCCAGCTATAAAACAATGATGATCAAAAACATGACACTCTCAGAAGAGGCAAAGAGTCACGCCATGCAAATCCCAATTACCTCTTATCCTTCCCGGTCACTCCCCGCCTTCCTCCATTATTAGCACCTTTAACCTGCCATGTCGCCCATGGAAACCCGATATGTGTCAAATGCATCAAGTGCCGCTAGAGCCCCAAACACCAGATATATCCTCCTGATGCGAGCGCGAGTCTGGCGAAACAAACAAACAAAGAAAACGAAAAGAAATTCGTATACGGTCCGTATCGTAATAAGATAAAGTGTAGAAAAGTTGCAAGACATGCTGTCACATGGCGTCTACAACAATAAGGGTATCGACGGCATTATCAATAAGAAGCTGAAGTTCAATCTTCCACCGCTGATTTTGCCAGAGATCCCTGGTCCAAAACTTCCATCCGAATTTCTTAGACCCGTTAGTGACATCAAACTGTAAATCCCAGTCATAGACACGGGCCATTCCATTAGGATTGACTCCTGGAGAATTCCCCTTGGCACTAGTTCCTGCAGCACCTGTCACAGGAGTATCTTCGAGACTATCTTCCATCCCTTGCCGAATCCTCCACTCCTGTTGAGCCTTTTCCCCCGCACGCTGGGCCACCGCTTCCTCGTCTTCTGTTTGGTAGAGGTCACATTTATTGCACTCTGTGCAGCTGGCGCCCGGAAGTATTCGGAAGTGCTCACAAAAATGTTTGTAGCCTTCTGCCTCCTCACCAACCTCATCGTTGTCTGACTCCGCATCTGCTGTACCATCCATGAGTCGAATGCCACCGCCATTTGGCCGCTGTCGACTTTTTGGTCCAAGTGCCTTGCGGCATATGTAACACATGGAATAGCCGCACACGCAAGTCAATTTGTTGCATCCGGAAGATTTGACGAAGGACAGTCCGCAGCATGGACAAGTACGTTTGATAGCCGCCGTGCGAGCTGCTTCCACCGTTGTTCTCAGGGACTGGAGTAACGGTTCATGACATGTATGGGGATCATTCCATACCTTATGGCAACGCATACAGCTCGCTCTGGAGCATAATGGGTTTCCACATTTGAAGCGTGGTGACCGTCTCCTCAGGCACACGTTCTGCAAAGATCTGCGGAATGTGGTCCTTAAGGTAGAGGGTGAAATGCAGAGAAGAAGGAGTAGAGGGAGCAGAAAAAACTGAACAATGTCAAGAAGCAGGATGAACACTAATACACTCGTAGCGAGGCTGGCTTTACGGAATTGCCAAGTAATCCCCTTGACCGATGGGTGGAAAACGGGATCTACCTCTGCATATGAGCAGAATGGACAGTGTATCAGTTTCAAGCTCGATTTGGCGAGAGATTCAGAGGCAAGCCGAGCCTCAAATTTCCGGTATATTTCCATTCCAGATCTCTCTTGTAAGATTGCTCTCTTAACAAGCTCGGCATCCAGCGCTCCTTGGCATGTCCCGTTCGCAAACGGGGCTATACACAATAGAGTCGATTTTCCAGGATTGATAGACTTATCCCATCCTTGGCCAAAGAGTGCTTCTTGAAGGGTGCGTTGTATGCAACTGAAGCAAATAATATGGCTGGACTCAGAGCATGTTGATATCTGTTCAAAAGTAACATCGGAGAGACAACAATCACATTCGTAAAGCGCATCAACTGCCTTTGCTTCAAGTTCGTTCAGGTCCTTGGCTTTCTTAGAGTCTTGCTCTATCTGTGTCTCCCGGTTTCGATTCAACAGAGGAAGTATATACGTATTGTAAATCTCTTCGTCCAGCTCCGCGCACCCAGTCCCTTTCAGGACGGGTTCGGGTTCGTCAGTAGAACGTCTCTGCCAAACCAGATACGGTGGTGGATCATCTTTATGTGGTGCCTTCTTCTTCTTGAAGGAAAACATATTCCCCAGTGCAACGCGCCATGATTTCCGAGATAGATCCAAAAGCGTTGGCCGCGCGCGAGTATATGAGAAGTTTCCTTCTGCAAGGACGGCATTGATTGCACTTCTACTCAGGGATCGAAATTCTGCAGCCAGAGCGGCCCTGACAGCGTCTTTATATTGACCACTCCGGAACAGCTCCTCCCTGGGAACCAGCTTGTCTCTGGCTTCAGGGTCATTCCCAGTGGCAGGAGAGATATCAGCCCCCTCAGGAGCAGCGGAAACGTTCCACCGTCCCTTGACCCATTCTGATCGGTATCTCAGCAGCTGCTCAACACTAACTTCCAGCCTGCTCTTGCCATCGAACCTGGTCAGCAATTCTCTGAAAACTTCCGGCTGTACGTCAGGGAATAGCCTAGCCAGCACATTCAGGGCATCATTAAGTTCTCGTAGCTCTCGATGCTTCTCATCTTCTATATCAGTCGAAGTAGTCAATATCTCAGTCGCTGGTGCGGTGGTGGCTGTGGTGGTGGTGCAGTTGGGCCGTGGGCTTGCAGCAAACGGGTTGCTGCGTAGCGCTTCTGCGAGAGTAGATGAGGCAGTAGGGGATAGCTGGACAGACGTGGAAGTGCCCGAGGTAGCTGCCCTTATAGATTTCGAGGACGAGGATGCGGTCGTAGAGGAGGCTGAGGATGATAGCGATGCTGGTGTTCGTTTACTGTTGCGAGTTGTCTTGTTGCTCAGTAGAGAGAGGACCATGATAGGCGATCTTCTGCCTCATTCCCTGGATAGAGCATCGAGAATGAGAATATGAAAGAGGCGACAGGCGAGAGGGCAGCTCAACATGAAGATAAGACCGGAGGGGCGAGAGGCAGGCCTTTAATACTAGTCCCTCAGGGGAAGTTCAACGTGGTGTTGTCTTGAACGTACTTTTTTCGTTAAGAACCCTGGTCGTCTCTTGGGTCAATAATGACGCAGTGCTTGTCTTGCCATCAGCCGCCAGGGCGAGCCGCATACCGAAACCACGACAACCCCCTATCACAGGTATTACACTAAAAGGACGGCGAGCAGGTTTGAATAAATTATATCTCCTAGATTTCGAAAAGCACGGCATAAGATAAAATACACCTAGTCACTGATTCTCGTCGTGACTTAGTTATCAAATCATAGATAACTATTGCAACTAACTAATAAAAAAGGAGCTTCATGAAACAGCGATCATAAACAACCGGATAGATAACCTTTCCACCAAGATGAGACGGAGAAAAAGAGTAAAAAGGGACAGATACGTTATTCATACTGAGTTCCCTTTAGCAGATATTTACAACTTGCCCTTTCCGTTGGAGACAAGCTCAACACCAGCACCGGCGATAGCGGGCTTGCCAGTCTCGACAACGGTGGTCTGGAAGACCACGACGTTACCTTCTTTCCACATCTCTGTTCTGAGGGTCTGGCCTGGAAGGACAACACCTGCAAAGCGAACCTTGAGGTTCTTGAAGGCGCCAAACTTCTCATAGATATGCTTGCCAGAGATACCTAGGGAGCAGAGGCCGTGGAGGATAGGAGTCTTAAAACCGCCCATCTTGCTGAAGTCAGGGTCAATGTGAAGAGGGTTGCGGTCACCGTTGAGGCGGTAGAGGGCGGCCTGGTCTTCCCCGGTCTTCTCTTCGGCAACGGCGTCGGCCTTGCGCTGTGGTGGCTTGTAGGCAGCAGTGGCAGCAGCTGGGCGGGAGGCAGCAGACTTGTTTGAGCCGCCGAACCCACCGCTCCCACGGATGAACATGGTAGACTCGTTGTAGAAGAGATCCTCGCCAGTTTTTGCGTTCTTGGTGGTGTAACCCATGACAACAATAGCGGCGTTACCTTTGTCAATGACATCGATGAGCTTAGGGTAGGTGATGGTTTTTGCCTCAGTTGGAATTGGGTACTTCCTAATCTCAAGGTACTGTTCACCATGAAGGAGCATCATAGGCGAGAAGTTGGCAACAATGTCACCCAGGTTCCAGGGGACAGCAGTGTTGAACCATGGAATAACACCATAGGTAGGCAGAGCCTGGAACTCGTCGTGGTTCTCATACACAAATGGCAGCTGAGTCCTCTTTGCTCCCAAACTGAGACTGTAGAGGATGACATCTTTATCAGCGTAGTCAAAGGAGGTTCCCTCTGCCTTCATTTCCTTGGCCTTGGAAATGTTGTCCAAAATGCTCTGGTCACCACCCTTGGGGGCCTCCTCCTTCTTAGCTTCACCGACCTTGTTGTTAATGTTGGCCATGATGCTCTCAGTACCGGCAAGAGTGTCGTCGGGGTGGTCAGCACGGCCATCATCGAAGTCGATAATCTTGGGCCAGGTTTTGGCAACCTCTTCGACGGTGAGGTCAACATCGACGGGGAAACCGTGACCTCCGGAACGCTGCCATCTGGTCTTACCAGTCCACCCACTGCCACACTCATAGAGACCCTTGGTGGCCGGCTCAGGGAGGAGCTCGGAGCAAAGAAGGATAACTAGAGGAGCAACTTGGTTGGGATTTAATGCCTGGACAAGCTCCTCAGGCATAATGGTTCTAGTCATGTCAGTACCAGCATTAGGGGCAATAGTGTTAACACGAATGTTGTACTTGGCACCCTCAAGAGCTAGGGTGCGGGAGAAACCGAGAATTCCGAGTTTCTGTGAGACCATCAGCATTTATTCCGGGCTCAGGGAAGATGATTTGGTACCACTTACAGCAGATGCATAGTTGGCTTGGCCAAAGTTTCCATATATACCACTGGTAGAAGTGGTGTTGACAACACGACCAAACTTTTGTTTCAAAAAGTAAGGCCAGGCGGCCTTGGTGACACTGTAGGTACCTCGGAGGTGGACATTCACGACAGAAGTCCAGAGCTTGTCATCCATGTTGGTGAACGCTTTGTCGCGCAAGTTACCAGCATTGTTAATAACAATATCAATGCGGCCAAAGTTGTCAATTGCAGTCTTGACAATGGCAGGTCCATCCTCACAAGAGGCCTTGGATCCGACGGCTTTTCCTCCAGCCTTCTTGATTTCCTGAACAACTGGCTCAGGGTCCATAAGGTCGTTGACAACAACGGAGGCACCATACTTAGCAAACATGAGTGCATAGGATCGGCCAAGGCTAGAATGCTAGTTAGAATCAATTCGTTTTGATGATTGGCAATGGGCTATGGCTTACCCAGCTCCAGCTCCAGTAACTAAAGCGACCTTTCCGGTGAAGTCTGGCTGCTCTGCAGGGGGGTTAGCTGGTAGTTTCATTGACTCTTGGATCAATTCAACATAATCGGCAGGGCCGGTTGGGTAGGCTGGCTTGGAGAAATCATTGACATCCTCCCATCTCTTCAGGAGTGCGCCAGGGGTGAAGCTATCATCGGCCTTCATAAGAGCACCCTTGGAACGCTCCCATCGGATCTTAGCAACGTGACCAGCACCAGCTTCAAATATGCTACCAGTCTCGGTAGTAGAGGCGTGAACGAGGTATGCAACGATAGGAACGACGAACTCAGGCTTTAGGTTAGCCAAAAGCTCTGGGGGCATCACAGTCTCCGTCATGCGACTGGCAGCTATTCATTGTTAATAAAGCTCTTATTACCAGTATCGATTAGTTGGTTTTATCAGACTTACCGATTGGCGCAATGGCGTTGGAGTGAATGTTATATTTGAGCCCCTCCTTTGCCAGTGTCTCGGTAAGACCAACAAGGGCAAGTTTGGCGGCTAAACCTTGGTTAGTATCTTTGTTTCTGCAACACGGCCAGATGTTTAGAGAGCATACCGGAATAATTGGTCTGGCCAAAGCTGCCGAACAAACCGGCAGCCGAGGTAGTGTTAATAACTCGGCCAAACTTTTGTTTTCTAAAGTGAGGCCAGGCAGCTCTAGCACACTGTTCACAGGTGTTAGTGTCCGCCGAATAATCACCACATATCTGTAAAACTATTATAGGACCGTACCTTATATGCTCCAAAAAGGTGGACTTTGTCAATCAGATCCCAATCCTGGTCCTTCATGTTCTTAAAGCTAACATCGCGGAGAATTCCGGCGTTGTTGATCAGGATGTCGATGCGGCCAAAGGTCTTGATGGCGGTGTCTATGATCTTATCACCGAACTCGACGCTGTCGTAGTTTGCAACGGCCTTTCCACCAGCGGCTTTGATCTCTTCGACAACAACATCGGCAGCCTAGATAGGAAATAACCAAATGGTGTCAGAACCAAAGCTCTCCCGCCGCGGTAAACAAAGGCTTCAAGTATCAGAAGCAACTGGACTAGACATACCTTTGATGACTGGCCCTCTCCAGAATGTGATACACCGAGGTCATTGACAACGACACCGGCACCTTTGGAAGCAAAGTACAGGGCATATGCTTTTCCAAGTCCGCCGCCAGCGCCAGTAACGACGACGACCTGGTTATCGAAACGAAGGGACATGATGAATGATAAGGCCGGAGTAAGGGTGTAAGGAGGGAGGTATCAGGCCTGTCTTTAGAGTGATAATATACAGGGAGAAGAGGTGTCTGGAGATGGAACAGAAGAAGAACAAGAGAAGAGGAGAGTCGGACGAGGCGCGAAATAAAAGGAAGCCCGGTGTTGCTGCAATGACAAGCCCCGGCACGAGACTTGCTGGACCTCGGCTGCAGCGGTACAAGAAATGACATTAGCGCCCAGTGTTATTTACTTTTAGGTACCGCAGCTTGTGCATCATCGGCGTCACCTCAGCCAATAAGCAGGTAGTAAATTCCTGACTCAGCATAGAGGTCACCTGATACTGGCTTTGCATGTGAAATGGATGCTGAATAACGCGGAGAGACAGCGAGGTGTTGGTAGGAGAGGAGCTGGACTTAAGAGGAAGATGCTATATGTCAGTATAATTACTTCTGGTAGATAGGTTATCCCTTAGAAGGCTTACCTAGGCTGTCAAGCATATTATTAAGTACAGCTATGTAGACTTTAAACCAACTGACCAATTCCTTGGAAGATAACCTGTTTTCAGTTCGGCCCCTTTCTACTCTGTACTTAGAGATAGTTTTTATGCTAATCCAAAGAATAATTATGCAGAAGTATTCGGCCGGTACCTTCATCTTCGTCCCTGAAATGTCGGCAGCTCGATATATCACGTGACATTAACCTCGGCACTTTTGAACCTCGCCTTATCTGCGTTATCTCCATATTGCCTTTGTTTACCCCATGTTTTTTTATCAAATGGAAGTGTTTTGATAAGACCTTGGATAGCTAGCCAGAAGATGAACACAACTATCATCGACGATAAGTCAGAGCATTGCATTCCGTTCTTGCTTACGCTGCTGGAGGTACATAAGCGAAAACATGAAGACAACCCCAATTCGCCCCCGTTCTTCGTCGGCTTGAACGGTATCCAGGGCGCGGGGAAAACCGTCCTGGTCAGCTATCTTCTTCTAAATAGTTGATATTAACCTGCTCAAGCCCTCAATGGCTCCGTTATGACATAGGGTGGCTCAGGATACATGTTTCATTCTCCTAACATCCACCTACTAGGTCTCTACACTTCGGTCTATACTTTCTACGGCCCCGTATAACCTACCTACAATTACCTTCTCATTAGACGACATATACCTAACGCACGCCGACCAACAACATCTTGCAGCCGCCCATCTATCTAACCCCCTTTTACAACATCGTGGTCAGCCCTCCACTCATGATATACCTTTTGGAAGCAAGGTGTTTGACTCACTGCGACGAAATAAGCCTACAAAAATACCTTCGTATGATAAATCTGCCTTCAATGGCCAGGGAGACCGTACACCAGAGGATGCGTGGGAAGTAGTAAACGATACACAGAAGGGACAGCCGCTGATTAAGCTTGTGATATTTGAAGGGTGGTGCGTTGGATTTCGCCCAAGACCAGTCAAAGAGGTTAAAGCAGAGTGGGAAGATGCCGTGAAGAGACGGCAGAGGGACGATAGCTATAACGGACAGCTTGGTTATGTCAAGCTGGAAGATGTCTTGACCATTAATGACTCATTAAAGGAGTATGACGCATTTACTAGGTACGTGGTTATCGAAATAAGCGGTATATTGCGAAGCTAACATCACCTAGCCAACTTGATGCATTTATACACATGTAAGTAAACCCCTAGGGGCTTTAGTCCAGCTCTCACATACTGAATATCGAATCATTAGTGATGCCGAAGATACGCAGAATGTATACTATTGGCGACAACAGCAAGAGCAGACACTACTTGCAACTAAAGGAAAGGGAATGACACCAGACCAAGTCAGTCAATTTGTCAATGGATGTAGGGCATATTTAAATTCAGTAAGAATATATTATTTGTGTCAAACTAACGGGTCTTTCATAGATTATCCATCATATGAACTATACACCAACCAGCTCCGAAATGGCGTATTTAAACCTACGGAAGAAAATGGTGATGAGGACTGGAAAGGCAGACAGCTTCGGCTTATCGTTGACAAGCAGAGGAGAGTAAAAGAAGTCATTACGATATGATCATTTAGTTGGAATTATTTACACATGCTTCTATCGATATAGCCGAAACAAATAACCTCCAATTGTTTCAAGTTCAAGCCGTCTATACTACTCTTAGCTTAAATTATCACATAGGCCAGAATACACAGCAGACAATGCTAAAATCAAACGCCAAACGAAAAGCATGAAAAGGGCCTTATTACACAACTGGATACAGCTAGTACGTTGTGGCTGGTGATATCGAGGGAAGAAAACAATGCCTTTCACGTCTTACAAAGGAAAAGAAAATACTGGTACTGAAGAGTAGTTGTGGGCCTGGTGTCCAAATAAATGCCGATAATATAGTTGATATCCGTTCAATCTGTCTTCTTCTGACGATGATCAACATAGGATGATGCGTCATTATTAAATGCATTTCTACGCACTGCAGGAGTGTCAGAAAGGGAGTTAGACGTCGCTTTGGTTCCATTGGATCCGCCCATGAAATCTGGGGAGGGGGAAGGAGAAGCCCTTGCAGGCTCGGATGCATCGTTTAGCTCTATTAAATCACCGGATGTCCCCGCAAGGCCTAGATTGGCCAGTCGTTGGCTAAGAGGCTGTTGCTGGTGCTGTATCTCATTTATCCCTGCCTTTGCTCGAGTAGCAACCTTTCGAAACCAGCCTTCAATTGCTCCACCGACATTCTCTAGGCCCCCGGTAGACGAAGACGAAAACACAGCGGAATCAGCAGAGTCGAGAGATATACGATCCAGGTTTTGTAGCGAGGCAAACGTTGGCGCTGTATCATTGGGTGCAGGTTTGATCGTTAGTGTTGGCAGATGAGAGTTGACGAAAGTGGTAAATTTGTCGATTGGTGGACCGGGACATCTGGCGTTCTCTAGCGTTCCGACGCCTCCTGGGCCGGATAGAGTTATGCTGCGTTGTCGTTTGTGTTGTAGAGAAGTCGAATAGCGTGGAGGCCTGGTGCCAGCTATCGAACTATCACGACTTACATCCGATACCCTTGGGGAAGAGGTGGAGTCCCATTGTTTACGAGAAGGAGTGGAATGCAAGTCAGATAGATCGTGAGCGGAAGAGGATAGCCGGGGGTTATCCTTATAGGGACTTAAACGCAGTTGGGATTTCCTGCGGGCTCGAGGGAAGAATCCCAAAGATCGCCTTGGAAGTCGGCCAATCTCGACGGGCGATGAGAAACCATCTAGCTTTACCCAACTGTGGTGTGTCCATGGGGAGTCGCTAGTAGATTCGTTCTCTACCTTGTCACGATCTGATTGTGAGCCTCCATACCTAAAATCACAGGACGTAGAGGCATGTGTATCAGGTACAAGAGAGCTTGTATCATGGTCTGGATCGTCTTCTGTTGGGTCATCACCCTGTTTCCGCACTTCTTCTTCGGGTATTGGGAGCCCCTTGAGCGTGCACGACTCAACGGGCAGAACAATGGTCTTCCTGGACTGGATGCTATCGCTAGGCCAGAAGCCATTCGACTTTCTCAACACTGCCAGCGCGCAACCATAACGAATCGACACTCCGGTAAGCGTATCATTTGACTGGACGAGATGGATATACACCAATGCATCCCCTTCTTCCTGCGCCGGCGTTGAAGTTCCAGTCGACCTTTCAAACCCATCTCCCGAGTCTCTTCGTTTATAATTGCCCATGATATCAGGAAAACTGTCCCCATTGGTCTGCAACAGAGCTTCCCGCCTTTTGGCTTGAACGAGCTCCTGTCTCTCCCTCTGGGCATCTGGATTAGCCTCCCCGATAATTGAACGCGGCGGGCCCCAGGAGGTAGGTCCAGTTTGTCTATTCCTCGCCAGATTCCCTCCGACGGATCTCGACCTTGGTCCCAACGGCTTTCCCGGCTCTCCGTTAATCAAAGCACTTCCAGACCCGATGATATTCGATGCAAGGCCCTGCAGTGACGACCAAGGAGACTCCAGGAAGTCAGAGGCAAACCCATTCGATTTACCGCTGCCTCTTGTGTCTTCTCGTATCATACCACCGAAGCCAACCCCGCGACCTCTCAGGGTACTTTGGCTCTGGCTACCATGTAAGCTCGCTCCTCCGCCACCCGTCCGCGGAAGTCGCTTACTCGGTATTGGAGACACGCCTCTTGAAGAGTAAGGGGAAGATGTGGACGTTCCGCCATTCGTGTGCAGCGAACGAGTCGAGCGTTGTGGTGTATTACCCGGGAAATCGGCTATCTGTCCATCATCATCCGTGCCATCGTACGAAGGTATCACTCGCCGGGTACGTGATCGAACGGTGGAAGCAGCGGAGCCAGAACCATTTCCATGCGCCGAAATCGAGGTCCAGGAGTTCGAAGCATCGAGGAGATTGGTGTCGTTGCTCATTCCTGATCGCACTGCCCTAGCCGGTACACAGGACGGGCATATAGATTAAGATGCCGAGCCAGCTAATATGATAGGTGGCAGCTCTCACTCTCTCTGTGCGTCGCTTTGTATCCCTTGCAGTATGCTCCTTAATGGCTTTCGGGGGCTGTCTGTTTGTTGCAAGGCTGCCTGGGCATGGGGAGTAGAAAGAAGCCGTCCTAGTTCGGATGATGCGCGATCGATCGTCTTGCTAGCGAGTTGAAAACAGGAATCGTGGTAATGTATGTCCCCTACGACCCTCTGGCACCGTATAGAGCGTGATATACGTTGGTCTTCGACGCCGAGTTCGTCATTTAGTTGGCTGACGGCGGGAGGCTGCTGCTCATTGTCCAGCAAAGGCGTAGAGAGGGACGGGACACCTATCTAGATAGCAACTAGTCGACTAGTTAGCCAGGGGAGCAAGGCGAGACACCGCCGCTGCAAGGTAAGCAGCCCGCAGTAGGGGTCAATCGGCTTTAGAACAGGCAGACAAGATCCGCGGCGAGGGTCCAGCTATCTTCACAAGCTGTCCTCGGCTTGGTGTAGCTAAGTGTACGCTTGTTTGACGCTGGCTTTGACTTTGCTTGTTCGTCGTCGTCGTCGTCTTCGCCTTTCTTGCTGTCGTATTTTTGGCCACTAGAAGCCGGCGTTTGCGTCGCCGTCGTCACATGACTTGCTCTCAATCTACATGGGACAGGTACAGGGGCTTCGAAAGAGCAAAGATACGCGCAGATTCGATTATATTGATTACAAGTAAGAGAGCGCGAGATGGGTAATTACTCGGTATACAGCTAGTCAGCGAGTGGTAGAGCAAACATCCGATCAGTTAGCAGATAATTACAACCCCACAGATTTTAAGTAGTCAGGCTAGACGGTTAAACTAGCCGCTAGTTCAAACCTCTAACTACCGCCCAAAAAGTGCATGCAGCGCCCCAGAATAGATGATAATATTTGATTGGAGATAGAAGAAAAGACTCCTCATCTCCTCCCCGTTTAGACATGCTCCAAAGAGTGAAAGAGAGGTCCCTGGTATACAGCAGGGCAAGGAAAAGGAGAAAGAAAGGCCTATTCGTGATCCAGCAACGGGGGGTAATTTACAGATTCTCAACAGACAGATCGGGGAGGCCGTTGATGCCGAAGAATTGGAACCTAGAGAGTGTTAGTATGATGATGCGAAGCAACATATCACTAGGTAAAAGACAAGGATGACGTACCAGTCTTCGACGTTAAGGGTAGGTGGAATCGGCCCCTGCTGCCGAGAAGAGTTACTCCAATTGTCATCCTGACTAGATGCATCCATGGGAACATTCGGATCGAACGTCTGCATAGGCCATTGTCCTTGCATCGGCACTCCCTGCCCCATCTGGTGCTGTGGTGACATACGGCCTAAACCAGCCATGAGAGTCGGGCTATGCGCAGACCGTGGTGAAAGATGTGTTTGGCCCGGCATACCCATCGGCATGGCCGTGTTGTTTAAACTGGGCATTTGAAGTTGTGGGTCGACGTTTGTGGAGGACGGTGAGAAACCGGGGAAGGACATGTTGGTGCCATCTGGGAAGAGTTGGTCGGGCTGGAAGTTTTCCCATAGTGATTGGGAGATGCTGGGAGAGTTGCGAGTGACGAGGAATAGGTCTGGTGGAGATTGGGGGATCGATAGCGCTGGGTTGAAGGGGGAGGTTGGGCGGGTATTGCCTGTCCCTGTGCCGGGGGCTCCGTTGCCAGTCCCCATGAAGGTATCTGTTGGCATGCGTTGGTGCGGTTGTTGCTGCTGTGTATTTCCAGCCGCAGGGCCTGCCATGTTTCCTGGTAATTGGCTTGGGGTCATCGACGGCGTCGCGGCGGGAGTCTGTGGTCTCGACCGCTCATACGAGACCTGAGCTGCAGGAGGACCGTTGGGCATGCTTATGTCCATATCGTCGAATTTCCTCTTTGGTGGATCAGGCCGTTTCACAGTCTCTTGTGGTTGCTGTGACTGTGGCTGTTGCTGCTGTCGTCTCGTCTTCTGATGGCGTTTCCCAGCTGCTTTCTGCAGCCGCTCTTCGAGGGCTTTATTGCCCAGTATGGATTCGAAGAGAGTATGTACCATTCTGGCAACAAGCCATACTTTTGAAACATCTTTCAGTGCTGACATGCATATGTTGATCCTCTCCTGGCTCGTGGCGACTATGCTTGGGACAGAGGACCGCATTTGATATACATGCATAATCAATGCAGAGAACAAACTATAAACACTGTTCACGAAGATATATTAGCTGAAAGGGTTTATTGACCCATAAAAGAAGTGTGTACCCACATGAAAGCAGGGGCAAAGCGAATCTGCTGGTGTTTTTGTAGGCTCTCGGTAATTGACGTGATCATGGCTGCGGCTTGGAAGGCGATTGTGCGGGAAGGGTATGATATTCCATCATTTCCCGCGTTCTGGCCAGCAGTTGCAGGAGGCATGTGGGCTCGATGTAATAGACATAAAGTAGTACTAAACACATGTCAGCAAAACTTCAATCTTTTTTAAGAGCAGTAGGTAAGCAGGTAAAAGCGTACTAATAGTTTGAATGCAACAGGGCAGACCAGAAGTGATGCCGTGACCGCTCCCAGTAGACTTCCTTGGGGCAGTTTTGCAGCCAGTCAGCCAGCGCCATATCGCTGTGCGTTAAATCAATTGCGTTGGTGCGTCGTGACTTGGAAGCCACTGAATATTGCTGTGAGAGAACCAGGCCCATGATCTCGCACAACTTGACGTATTGGAGAAAGAATTGAACATGTGTGGAATCAGGTGGGTAGTCTGCCGGCCCATCTGCGTCATCTTCAATGAAGTCGTCCTCCGTGAGCATTTCCACGTCCGAGTCATCTGTGTTGATGTTTACTGGACGCCCCAGAGCTACTGCCACAGATCGATCTCGGGTGAAGAGTGTCCACCATACACGTTTCCATAGACGTTTGTCGGGCCGACTTAGCTGGGATGTTTCCACACTGGAAAATGTTAACATACTGGAAGTAAAATAAAAAGTAAACAAGAGCGAATCACCTTCTATGCATGCCGGATCCCTGAGCAATGATGATTGCAACTCTTGTCCAGAAAAAGACATTTTTCGTTACGTCTGATAACCATTAGCGTCCAATCAATAGAGCTTAGGTAAAGCAACAGATACGCACCCTCTGGACCCTCCCAGTACCAGCCCATTAATAACAAAGCCTGGACGATGGTAACTCTGTCATCTTCATAGTTGGCATCATATAGCGCTTTTGCACGTTTGTAAAAGGTCATGGCCGCCGGCGTGGTGGATCCATTCGCGTCCATGAGCTGTGGATTAGTGCACACCCTGGACCCAGCTAATAGAACAGCCTGCAAGAGTAGTAGTGAAGGCGGGTTCTTAGGGTCCCGGTACTGTCTCATAAACCTGCTTCGGTTGATAAGCGGTACGACGGGGGCGACCCATTTGAAGTAAGCGTCTACTAGCTCGTCGCACAAGGCACGAGGAGGGAGTAAGAAGGCACCACGTTGGTTGAGGATGTCTATCTCCGAAGCTGTCAAGGTTCAGTGAG